AGCCAAGGTAATGTTTGAAAAAAGTCAAGCCCCCGTCAGGACCCGAACCCACGACCTTCGGACCCACAGGCGAGTGTCTGGTCACTAGACCACGGCGGCTCCCTTACTACCCAGAGACCAGGGAAAAATACTATAAGTCTACGTGAAAAAATCCCAGCCTTCACTGGGGCTGGAACCCAGTACTTCCAGCACTCGAGGCGGACACCATACAGCATGCAAGAGTATGGGGAAAACGGGGAAACGATAAGACATGCCTAGACCAATAATTTAAAAGACATACTTTAAACTAAAGAGCACCAGAAACAATTAACGCGGTAGATTCTTGGCATTCCGCGGAGTGTTCACATACTAAGTGACTCACAAGATACTAGATAACAGCATAGTTGTGGCAAATATTTAAAATATTTGGGCCGTTCCTTTTCGCATTCATCAGATAAAATGACCCCTTTGACAGTAGTTGAGCCAGATGAAAGATAGAACAGACGTGGGGAGGACTCGTTTGTGGCAAGAAACAATCTAGATTGGATTCTCTGGATCTAGAACATTTTTTTTACATTACGGTTTCTTGAATAACGTACTACTTCGGTTTTTCCGGATCTTCTTCTTCTTCTTCTTCTTCTCCTTCTTCTTCTTCTTCTTCTTCTTCTTCTTCTTCTTCTTCTTCTTCTTCTTCTTCTTCTTCTTCTTCTTCTTCTTCTTCTTCTTCTTCTTCTTTCTTCTTCTTCTTCTTCTTCTTCTTCTTCTTCTTCTTCTTCTTCTTCTTCTTCTTCTTCTTCTTCTTCTTCTTCTTCTTCTTCTTCTTCTTCTTCTTCTTCTTCTTCTTCTTCTTTTTCTTCTTCTTCTTTTTCTTCTTCTTCTCCTCCTCCTCCTTCTCTTTGTCGCCCTTCCTCTCTTCATAATGTAGCTGAAATCATTACCTAACTTACACTGACCTACCTAGATATGATTATTTGCTTGCAGCTCGTTTTCTCTAGAATGACGAACCAATCTCAGGCCACTTACGACACGGATGGCAGGTTCATTATTACCTTTCGTTGTTTCCTTATTGGCAGCGTAGACGCATATTGTTTGTTCCTGTCAGTCTGGTCTGTGGAAGGATCATTTTCTATCCCTTGAAATCCTCCATGCGTGTTTCAGTTTCTCCCAGTAGATCACACACGACTGTTAGCACAATGACACGAACTCCACAGCACCTTCAATGATTCAAGCTTGTGCACACTAGGATCAGCCAGTCAATCAATCAATCAATCAGTCAATCAATCAATCAATCAACGAATCAGGTGCCATCCCCACAATGAATGTCCAACACTCTCTTTCTTTGGATGAACGCAGTCTCAGACAGTTGTCCTTCATTCCTTGATGATATTCTCCCACTTGCATCGTTGTCTTCTTTTTGCTTTTGCCTCCAACTTTTCCCTTCATAATGGTTTTATTTTAAGACTGCTGTCTTTTAATATCTCTGGGATATCCCCCCTCCCCCTTTTTTCGTTTTTTAATATCCTTTAAGTAACATCCTTCCTTGTCTCACATAAAAGAAATGTTGTTTCCCCATTTGCCACTCTCATGGAATGTAAGCGTGTTTCTACTTCTTTGTTCACTAACTGTAAGCTCCAGTTAAATCCTGTTTGTTCGCACATTTGGACTTTGGCTTTATGAGGTTTGCGTGTACAACCGTTTTACTGCCTTATTTGTATGCAATTGGTACTTCCTTGCCGCTCTGGCAGATGCACCGACTTCGAAGGAAGCACCCAATTAGTCAACTCCTACGCCTATTCTTGTCTCCCTCTTCTCCGAGTGGGGCCCCGAAACCCACACGGGAGTGAACCTGTCTAGAAGTAAATGCTTTCGTGAATCTGTTTTAATGGTTCTCCACCTGTCTCCCCTCAACTGTACATTTGCTTTGAAACTTCTTCTTCTTCGCGTTCACTGGCTGTAAACTCCGCTGGAAAGTTCTGGTTGTTTGTTTACCTCTGGACGTTAGTCTTGTTCCAGAACACGAGTTTTGCATGCTTAACCGTTTAAAAGGTTTAGCTTATTTTTTATGGAGTCTGTTGGTTCCTCGCCTCTCATACGGGTGCACTGGGACTTCCAAGCAAAAAACCCTGAATTAATCACTTGTTACGACTTGCTTTGCTAGAAGGACAGTGAGTCTGTTCTGTTCCCCCTAAAATGGGCCTCGGAACCCACACGGGAAGTATCAAAATGAAACAGCAAGCGTGTATGCCAATCAGCTGTCACTGTCACAATGAATGTTCAGCTGCCTCCGGCACTTCCTGCCTCTTGCTCTGCTGACAGGTACATTGTGACAGATTGCTGTTCTTCCTTCATTTGTTGTCTGCCCACCGTAGAGTTGCTATAATCTCGGGAATCTTTTCCAACTTTGTACCGCTGCCATTATCTCTATATATTCTTCCTTTTTGCAACGCTTACGTTATCAATAGGTCTTCTTCCCGTGTGTAACGCTGCCATCATCTCGATGTCTCCTTTCTGTTTCTTTTACTACTATGATTTTGATGTCTTCTTCCTGTTTGCACCTCTGTTATCATCTAGGTGTCTTCTTCCTGTTTGTACTGTACTCTTCCTGTTTCTGTAATCATTTTCCTGTTTGTATCATTGGTCCTCTTTACCTGTGCCATTGCCATAAACCTAATGTTACTTCCCTTTTTGCATTCTTGTCATTATCTTCATGTTGACTTACCTACATAGTTATAACTAGTGAGTGAGTTAGTTAATCGACAGATTATCCTCATTGCGCATCGTACAATTCCATGAGCGCTAGGATCATTAATATCTCTCAGCGTGTTCCCACTGATATCACCAGTTCTGTGTTGGTTTACTATTCTTCTTTAACTACCTGAATAGTGTTCATGTTTAGCGACAACTCTTTTGACCCGAAGTTCTTGTAGTCTTTTGAGTGTTGCCGATTCAACGTCGTCTCCTGAATATCATTAACGTTATCCCGATATGTTGGCGAACGAAAGAAGAAGAAGAAGTTATCCAGATGTAGTTGTAGTACACGCCCTTTGAGCTCGCCTCTGAAAATGTATACGGAGGCCCATGCCCTAATATTCTGTTTTGTTTCGGCGCTTCTGCTCCTAAATTATACCGGTGATTCCCCCCGCCCTCGCTGCATGTTAAAAAGTACTTGAAAGAGGTAGCCACTAAGCTTTTACAAAAAATAGACTGGTCTTTCACCCGAGAGACCCAGGTCCAAATTCTCGGTAAAATGATAAACGTTTGACCACTGTACGAATCACCCTTCTCTAAATTCTCATGCAAAAATGACCCCTATACCCTACTGCCTGTGCTATCACTGCCTGTTTTTATCATTGTGTGCGGTGTAGACAGGTTGGCACGGTCTTCGCTCTTAAGGATTTAGGGCCGCATGGGCAGTGTCGTCGCCACTGTCTGTGTAGATTAGATTTATTCTTCTTCGAGTTCACTGGCTGTAAACTCCTTGGAAAAGTTCTAGCTGTTTGTCCACCTCTGGACTTTTTTCTTGTTCCAGAACCTAAATGTTACGTGCACATCCGTTTTACAGATTGGCCTTATTTGTATGCAGCTTCTTTGTTCCTAACCTCTCAGGCAGATGCTCTTCGACTTCGACGTAAGCTCCCAGTAGTCGGCTCTTACGACATGCTTGTTGGGGAGGCAGTGAGTGGTTAGGATTTTGTGTGTGTGCCCCGACAGAAACAAATGTCCAGCTTTACGGAGGATTCAAACCCAGGTCTCCCGCTTAAAGGGCAGCGTTCTTGCCGTTCGGCCAGTCCCCTGTCCTACATCGCTCTTAATAGATGTATAATAAACTTGACGGAGGAAAGTCAGAGGGGTAAATGAATTCATAAATGGCCATGGCAAATGACATAAAAGAGACAAGAACACATTCCAGATCAGCGATTCTGGTGATCCTCGCATGTGTGGCAGGAACATGGACGCCATCATGCTAATCGACATAGCAAATGATGATGAATGTTTCTCCCCTCCAGGATTACAATGTTTCATTACCATGTCAAGGATGAGAACGACATGGGCATACATCGCTAAACTCCGTTCAACCTTGCCGCCACAAAACAATTACGAAGTAGCCTGTAGTCCAATATGGGTGGGGGTTTGCTTGGTGATGAACGTCTTTTGTTTTGAAACGGAGTTTTGATCTGCGGCCTTTCAAGCAAATCTGGTATACGTAATCGTAACGACACGTCAAACAAAACCAAGCTACTTCCAGCTACGCTAGAGCACACAAGTTGGCATCCAGCTCCCGTCCTGCCAACGTGCGTGACAGGTCCGGAACGACCATCCATCCCTCCAGCTGCCTGGGGCGGGAAGGGAGGGGGAAGAACCGGCGAGAACACATATCTCACGCCTCCGCAGCTGTGTCCTCTTGGCGCCTCGCCAGGCCCCGATCACGTCCTGACCTCGTGTAGCACGCCAGTGTCAAGGCTACAATGTAGCACAGGGCGTAAAAACTTGTTCCCCGACCAGCTCAAGCTAGCTGTAACCAGATCAAGCCGGTCTGAACCAATCTTGACAGCTTCAAGTATTCACCGAGATCAATGACGTTTTTAGTATTTGCTGACGTGCGGCCGCACAGCGCATAGACACGCTGTCTAGACATTGACGGGCGGTGACTCTTTCTTGCACACATACTGCAATTATCAAATTTATATGAGCATTAAGTATATACATTACTCAAAAATTTACTTGACTACAAGTTAGTATTAGTTTTGTTTTTCACAGTAAAGTTAACATAACCACCAAGTAGTGGTAAATGTTGAGCTTTGTGAAGGACTAACTGGTTAAGTTAACATGGCTTGAAGCTAGCCAATCAACAAGCAGCAGCCGAGATCTCGACGCCTGGCGGAAGCGCAGATCGAAAGTAGGAGGGGGAACTTGTGGTTGCTTTGCTTCTTCTTCTTCTTGTGGATTACTTTCATGCCTTTGCCTTCAGGATCCTGAGGTTTATTTCACAGAGAGAGGATTCTATTTAAATGGGGGATGCTATGATGGATGCAAAGAGTATCGTGAATCAGTGCGTAAAGTGCAAGTCAAAGTTTACTTCGGTGGACAAGCCTTTGAAGCTATTGCCATGTTTACATTCCATGTGTTTGGATTGCTTGTACGGTCGGGTACCGCCAGTCCGGCGCGCCTCCAGTTGTGTGCCGGACAGTAGTAATAAAACCGACGTGACTGCTGGGAGGAAAGAGTTTGAATCCGACAGTGAAGCGAACCTTGACAGCAGTAATAATGCACCTTCTGCTGAAGTTGTTACGGAAACAGAAGCAACTAAGGAAACGGGAAATGGTACAAATGTATGTTGTAGTAGTACTGCTGGTTCCGATACTGCTGCTAATGAGGAAGGTACTGCAGATGATCCATCGGCGAAGAGAAGTGATAGTGTTGATCATACTAGCAATCAAGGAGATACTGCCAAGAGTAAGAGTTCAGCAGAAATTTTGGAATCGTCTCTGGAAGCTGAGTTTTCTCATAAAGATGAGAATGAGACATCAGCAGCGTCTGTACCAGAAACTGATTCAGGAGTACACATTGAAAAACGTGAAACTGAAACACAAGACGAGGCAATAGGGGAGACACCAAAACCAGTCACAGGTAAGCACTTACTATTACTATAAATTATAAGAAAAAAAGGTCTGTCCAAATGAGTACAGTAAGGAAGTTTAAGTACTGTTAAGGTGTAACTTTTATTTGATATAGAATTCACTTCAGTGTTTTGAATTTGAAAATGATAGTCATAGGCATACCTATAGTATAAATTATATAAAGTATATTGTTGTAGCCTCTTACTACTTAGCTCACATTGAAGCAGGAGCACCCTTTGAAGACTGGGTTTATAGTCTGCTGACAAATAAAATAATAAATACCTGAAAGTAAAGTCCATGGACTTTGCATCTGATCTTGGTGCTGAATCCTCATGACTTCCCCTTGTGGGTTCAGGGGCCCCATTGTGGGGAAAACAAGAATCGACCCACCCACTGCCTACCCAAAAGCATGTCGTAAGAATCGACTTATTTGGGAAGCTTCCTTTGAAGTCGGAGTGTGTCTGCCTGAGAGGCAAGGAACCAACAATCTGCACTCAAGTAAATCAGATCTGTAAAACTGATGCACACACAACACTTAGGTTCAGGGGGCAGGACTGCAGTTTAGAAGTGGACGGACAACCAGAACTTTCTGCCAGAGTGTACAGCTGGTAAACGCGAAGAAGAAGAAAACAACATGATTGCAGATGTGTGAAGTTCCAGCACATGATGTGCTGGAGAGAGGATGGTATGTTGTTTACTTGTTACTATGTTAGAAGTAAACCTTGACATCATACTTTAAGCTAATAGATGTTGTTTTTCTCGACTGAACACATATACACTAAACCCAGTTTTCAAAAATTCCACAGCAAACCCACAGCGTTACTCCACCCCACTTGCAACTTATAAGCCTATTAACAACCTCTGCCCATATTCCACATACATACACAACACACTATTAATTACATTTTTAGTAGCCAATTGTTTAATTGAACAGTCATACTGGCAGGCAGGTTTATGTGCAATTATTTTAATTAATGCAACAATTACTAAATGTAAACTTTCACTTGAGTTATATCCCGTTACATATTTTTTCTTACATTCTCTTACATTGATTTAAAAAATATTTTACATTTCACTGTTATCTCTATTGAAACTTATAGGGTTGTATTAATTTCAAGATCTAGCAGACATATATGTCAGCATACATCTGTTACTTAACAATATATGAAAGTCAAAGGATTTAGTTTGAAGACAAAACTCAGAATATACAAGAGCAACATTTTAGGAACACTATTATACAACAGTGAATGTTAGAAAATGACGACGGGAATTACACATAAACTTTAGACTTTTCAAAATAAATGTTTATATTTTGGCCAAACAAGATCACAAATGAAGAACTGAGGAGGAAAACAGAATGTGCATCACTGACAAATGTTATCAAAGTAAAACGATGGAAATGGCTTGGACATGTTTGCAGAATGCCTTGTGACACTCTGGCAAAAACAGCTCTCTGACAGCAGATGGGAAAAGGAGACCTGGACGACCTAAGGAAACCTGGAGAAGGACAATCAAACGGGAAATGAAGGAATATAAACTGGCATGGAATACCATGGGCAGAATAGCAGCAGACCATGTGTTAACAGTGACATGAAGGGGATATAGATAGATATACAGATGCATCTGTTAAATTGATGTGCACACTAAATTATGGATTAAGGTCTTTTTTCACTCGTTACATAAGAATAAAAATACTCATTACACACCATTAAGACTTGGGCTTATTATATTAAGTCTGCCGCCCCTGACCCCTGATAAATGTGCTAGGTAGCTTAGCACCTCACAGGTTTTCCTTGCATTGGCTCCTCTCTAGCGCGGCTACATACAAAACAGGTACAGTAAAACCTTGCTTAATGAGCACCTCTCATAACGAGTTAATTCACATAACGAGCAAAACAAATTGTAAAAGAATGACTTGCTTAACGAGTGGCGAGGAGAGGGAAAGTTCCGGATTGTGCGCATGTTACATCATTCAGTCTGTGTTTAGCACTCGTTCCAGTAGCATCGTAGTGTCGCTTGTGATATTTTCTCAAACTTATGTTAAATGTACATGAATAAAAATTAATTGAATTAATTATTAGGAAGATAATTAGGTAATAGATTTGTAATTATTTGTGTGAAAAGTTTAATAAACCATTGCAAAAATTTGCCCGAAGAAAAAGCCGCAAGAAAACAGTCATAAGAGAGTAAAAATAACCATAGAAATGAAACATCAAAACACTGAAAAAGCGAAAACGAGGTGTAAGCCTGGCTGATCTAGCATGCACATACAATCGGTTACATCAACGATTTGCACTATCCTCAAGAACAAGGACAAGATTAAGGAGATAGATGCTTCACAGGGAGTGACAAAAATATCTGCGCAACGGTTACATATTCTCGATGACGTTGAAAGGTTGCTTCTCATATAGAAAAATAAAAGCAATTGCAAGGTGACACTATAAATGAGAAAATCATTTGTGAGAAGGCGAAAATGATTTTCGTGACCTCGTTAGGAAGACTCCAGGATCATCAACGGCCGAAAAAGAAGTATTTAAGGGAAGCCGTGGGTGGTTCGAGAAGTTCAAGAGGAGAAACAGCATCCGCGTTGTGAGGCACGGTGAAGCAGCAAGTTCCGACACAAACACAGCAAAGAATTTCTTCAGCGATTTTAAGAAGCTCGGTAGAATCTGAAGGTTACTTGCCGCAACAGGTTTTTAATTGTGACAAAACAGGTCTCTGGAAAAAGATGCCAAAGCGAACATATATAATAGCAGAGGAGATTGCATTGCCCGGGAAAAGGCCAATGAAAGACCACCTCACGTTGCTATTTTATGCCAATGCAAGCGATGATTTAAAAATTAAACCGCTGCTTGTTTACCATTCAGGAACTCCATGAGCCTTCAGTAAATGCAAAATCCAGAAGAGCAGGCTAAATGTAATGTGGAGGTCAAGCGGGAAGGCTTGGGTGACATGTGACCTTTTTACTGAGTGGATCAAGGAAGTGTTTGGTCCTTCTGTGGAAAAATATTTGCTTGAGATGAATCTGCTACTCCATGTCTTGCTTGTTATGGATAACGCTCGTGCCCATCCTCCAGGCCTACAAGATGACCTCCCTGAAAAATTTTTTTTATCAAGATCCAGTTTCTGCCTCCCAACACCACTCTGTTGCCCATGGAGCAGCAAGTTATTTCTAACTTTAGGAAGCTCTACACTAAAGCACTCTGAGCATTGTTTTGAAGTGACCAACCTCACTCTCAGAGAGTTTTGAAAAAATCCCATACACAACGTTGCCTGCCTGAAGATGATCGACAAGGCATGAAAAGGGGTTACCAAGAGAACCATAACTTCTGCTTGGAAGAAGCTTTGGCCGGAGAGCGTTGTCGATTTGTGACTTTGAGGGGTTCGAGACAGTACCTGTGGTACCTGTAGTCAACGAGATTGTGTTTTTAGCCACTATCATGGGATTGGATGTGGATAATAGTGATATCGAAGAGCTTGTGGAAAAGCTGACCACCGAAGAGCTTATGGAGTTGCATTGTGTTTTACAGCAAGAAGTATGAGAAGTATCCAAACACCACTTGGACTCAGGTTTCCACCGACGGCTCTGCTACAGATGCAGTCAGAAAGGGGGGTTGTGGAATTTACATTAAACCCCCTAGCAGTAGAGCAGAAACTCTCTCTCTACCAGCAGGTGACATCTGCACTAACTTCAGAGCGGAGGCAACTGCCCTCCTCTCTGCAGTCCAACATCTCATCACTCAAGAACACAGAGGGCACCAAATTGTTATACTTAGTGACTCATTGTCTGTTCTCCAAGCACTATCCAGCAAAAAACAAGACAAACTAATAGCTGATCTAAGGACCAACATTGGCTTACTCTCCAAGGAAGCAGAACTGGTCTTGCAGTGGATACCAGCCCACTGTGGTATTCAGGGAAATGAGAGAGCAGATGAGTTGGCAAAAGCTGGGAGTAATCTTCCACAACCTCATCCACCTCACAGCTACAAGGAAACAAACAGCGCTAAAGCAGTCTTTCAAGCGGGAGTGGAGAAGGCAGAATGGAGATTACAGACCAGAGAGTGACAGCATAAACAAACTCAACATGAAAGAACAAACATCAATTTTTAGACTTCGAACTGGACACTGTGGTCTTCGAGCACACTTGTACAGGATAGGCATAAAAGAATCTGCTGCCTGTGATTGTGGAGCAGAAAGACAAACCCCTGAACACATACTACAGTACTGCCCTAACCTCTCCCAGCAAAGACTGTGGATCTGGCCCAAGGGAGCCACATTGCAAGAAAAGCTATGGGGGACCGGTGGCGACCTTAAACGCACAATCCTATTTGTGACTCAGACGGGACTCAATGTTTAGCATGACTGATGTCGAACGCAGAAGAAGAAGAAGAAAACAGCAAGAAGTTATGGAGAAAAGTTTGTCAGAGGAGGAGGTAACAGAAAAGCACCAATCTTCTGGCAAAATAAGGGAAATGCTGAAAGCATGGGAAACTGTTGCATCTTACATTGTGAAGCATCACCCTAATAAGAAAGTAGCTAAGCGCTCTACAAATTTATTTAATGATAATGCTGTGTTGCATTTTCGCCAAATTTTGAAGCGCCGGCAAAAACAAATGTTTCTGAATATCTTTTTAGTAAAAATAATAAGGTATGTATCATAATTATTTTGATTCTTTAATGCAAATCGAATTCGCATTCCAGGTGGGTCCTTTCCGCGGTGGAAGAAAAGAAGATGATTCCTCTCCTTAACAATATGTATATAATTTTTTTTGAATAAACATTATACATAACATTTTGTGAGAATTTTTTCGACATGGAACGCATTATCGTATTTTACATTAATTTATATGAGAAAAATTGTTTCGCATTACAAGCATGATTCTGGAACGAATTATTCTCGTTAAGCAAGGTTCCACTGTATTGGGAATTTTTCTATTCAATGTCTGGAAAAAAACGCATTTTATACCAAATAGCTGAATACTGGTGTTAGCATTACTGAGGACAGTAAGAGTCTCGGGTACACCTAGGTGCAGTGATTAACATGCGGCAGCAGTGGAGACAAAGATGAAGTAGAGGATGGGAGATTATATAGACAATCACATCACCTAGGCAGGAATTGTCATGAATCATTTGTTGGAACTTCTGATACTGCAGCACTAGCTGGCCAGTCCCTGCACTCACGTCCCAAAGTGTTCAGAACCCTACACATGTGAAACCTGATCGGTCACTTTGACCCACTCCTCTCCTCACCTAAATTTATCAAGCCTGTACACGTGTCAAATGTCTTTAGCTTGCGCCATCCAAGACTTTCCTCTTTTCAGTCTGTGACCTTTACTTAGCTCTACCCAGGTGCCTATTATTCGCAGCTACTCTTGACTTTGCTTGCAGAGCTTTGAGCCTATCTGCAATAGTAGGCAGTGCAAGTATATATCACATACACACTACCGGGGTATGTCTTGTACATCCCAGAATTACCCACAGGGCTTCATTCAAGTTTTATCAGCTGACTGTTTGATATGGAAAGCATATCAAGTCCATAATCTATTACCGACAGGATCCCATGCTAGAATATTGTGAACAACATTCTTTGTTCCATGTCCATTGCTGCCATAATCTTGAGAGCATTGAGTCCTTTTTGGCATTTCACCACAATTGCCTCCGCATGATCCCTGAAGGAAAGGCTTCTATCGAAAATGATACCTAGGTACCTCAGTTTGCTTTCTCTTTGATGTTACTGTTATTAACTGTGAGGTTTTGGAACATTATCTTTTACACTTCTATTGTCGAGAGAGAACCGCAAAACAGCTGCCTTTTCTGAGTTAACAGCATCCATTTCTGCACACCAGTCAGTCACTTTGTCTACAGTTGCCTGTAGCTCGTGGGCTATCGGTCGCCTATATCTCCCATGTCTATATGCAAGAACATCATTGGCAATGTCAGTATTCTTCCAACACCTAGTGATTCAAGTTCTGCAATCTTGCTTGTACTTGTGAAATTGCAGAACCCTGGGGTAGTCCCAGGCAGATATTATAGCTAGATATTGGCATCTAGTTTTTGATTTCCCACTTTGATGACATGCAGTCTTGTCATTTGTTTCCTCAGAATGCCCAGTGTGTAGAGATCCAATAGAACAGCCGAGCACCACCCTGATGGACAACATGTTTGCAGCTCTAGACCCAGACCAGACTGCCTCTCCACAGCCAGACACTACACACTTGTGTACTGCTTGTGAGGAGAACCAGGAGGCTGGCTTCTACTGTCTGCAGTGTGAGGAGTGGCTGTGCGATAGCTGTGTTGATGCTCACAAACGTGTTCGTGTTACTAAAGACCATGTGATTTCTCCCAAAAATGAGGTGAGTTGGTTATAAGATCTTTTATGTGCATACAGATTGACTGGTTTTCCACCAAGTTGTGTGCTAATTTATGTTCAAGCTAATGTGGTGGAGGCTCTCAATGGGCATTACAGTAGAACAGAGATTCCGTACATTGAAAGACTAATTCAGCTGAGGTCAGTAGAGGTTCTGGAAGATATTCTTCTTCTTCCTCTACTCTTCCACAATTTACCTTAGCGAGGTGTTGAGGGGAGATGTAAGGTTCATTTGTGCGCTTTTTTCAATGCATTGTACAAATTGGTGTTCATTTCTGTGTCGCTCCATCTCTTGCTTGGTCTTCCCCTTGCTCTGTGTTTATTATATTTCTTAAGCGTGGCAGTTGGTACCAGGGCATTCTCGTCAGGTGGCCAAACCATCTCATTTGTTGTTCTTTAACGAATTTTATGACTGGTTTCAGTCCTAGTCCACTTCTAATTTCTTCATTCCTGATTTTATCTCTTGTCACGCCGGCAGCTCTCCTAAGACATCTCATCTCTGTTGTTACAATCTTCCGCTCATTAGTTGTAGTAAGGGTCCAGGCTAAAAAACTGTTATGAGATTTGCTTTGGTTGACAGAGGTATCTTTTCTATGCGTCAGAAGCGGTGTTAATTGTCAGATAACGTGATTTGCTTTCGCACATTGTATGTTGATTTCTCTTTCCATCAACACTCAGGAGAAAAACACTGGCGAGTTTTTTAATCAGGTTGCAACTGGTAGCATTAGCATATTAACTCTTCACTGGCTACTGGGGAAGGTGACCGAGCATGGGTGGGAATGTCCCAAGTGCACTGATGTCACTTATTGAGTCACTTCTTGATTCATTCATTTCTTGGTGGTAAAGTGATGCATGGCAAGCTAGGTGGTCAAAGTCTTTTTACGAGTGAACAGTGCAGAAGAACAAATAGATCATTACTGTTTGAAGAAAATGGTGCAGCTTAAAGTGACCAGGAGATTTAGCCGATACTGAATACTCAGGGGAAAGACAAAACAGGCATACAGTCAGACTGCAGCCTGTACCATTAGATTGGAACTCTGCACTGGCCATTTGATATGAGAACAGACTGCTTATGGGAATATTGGTTTTCAACTCAACTTTTGTAGATAATGGATGTTTGTCTGTGAGGTGATATTTCAACAAGAAGTTGAATTCTTTCTAGTTACAAGCTTTATATTTTACTATTTCTTGGCTGTTTTTTTAAATTTTTTAATTGGAAAGCTAACGAGATCTATTTTGTTGTTGTTGTAGATTGTTCTTCAAGATGTTTGCTAATTAGGCTTAGAGTAAAGGTGTTTCTTTGTCATTTTAAAGGACCATTTTCCGTTCCTTTCAGTTGGTCATACAGAACTAGACTGATATTTGTTTTACAGATGAATCGGCACTTGGTGAGTGACGGGTTCAACATCACATCGAGTTCTTTTACTTCGTAGGACCTGCAATTGGTACCCACTGAAGGCTGGGTAGACCTGGGTGCCTAAGTCATTTTTGAAGGAATTACGGTTCAGTCGGGACCTTAACCCATGACCTTCAGATTCTGCACACACATGAATGTATAACCACTACACCGTGGCGACTCTCTTTCTTTGTCACTGCAGCAAGTTTCCTATGTGGGTTCCAGGGCCCCCATTATTGGGTGGGTGGGGTGGGTTTTTTCATTTCTGTAGTGTCTGTTTTGTCGACTCTGTGGCTAAGTCAATGCGAACGCTTCGTAGTACCGGGTTCGATTCCAGCTGCGGGTCATGCGCCTTGCGTTGGTTTCGACCGTGGTATCAGGGGGCCGACCGTCCAGAAAGCAATGGCAAACTACTGGATGTAAATTTGCCTAGAGAAACCACACAACAGCCAGGGGCTGCTGTGGTTGGCTCTGCAACATCATGTAAAGGATACACAACTAACCTAGTGTCTGTTTTACTGTTTTACTCCTTCACCCATCTCTTTTTTGATCGGCTTAATAATATCAAATTTTCTCAATTCATTCACTGGCTGTCTGCCAGAATAGGGGGAAATGAATGGAATGATAGAATCACTAATGTTGAGATTCTGGAGAGAACTGAACACATTCCAGTGAAACAAGAGGTTAGTAATAGATGCTGACATTGAATGGGACATACATTGATAAAAACTGAGAACAAGTTAACTGGAAGGGCTTTAAACTGGAGCCCACAAATGCATAGACATCTTTTTGTTTGGTTTCGAATACTTAGATCAGACCATCAGGTGGTTTCCTTTATGTACTAGCATGCCAGCAGCAGGTCCTTCTTAGTTCCCCATAGCTTGCTCTGGACACTTTTCTCTTAAGGCCATGTTTATTTTTGAAGTTGTAGGTACAGTGGGCAGGTGTGCATAGAAATAAAAGTAGAACAAAAAACGCACAGAAAAGGGGATTAAAGACAAGCGAAACTAAAAATGTGGAAAAGACATGGCGTTTGCCGCATGCAATAGCTTCTTGTAATCACTTTCTGATTTACACCAACAGACAGGCTTTTAGAATAAAATATTTGTTTTTAAGACTTAAGAGTTTGATTCCTTACAACTTTGAATACAGTGATAGTGTTGACTCTCTAGCCCAGTATTTCCTTCTTAATGGGCTGTGCAAGGGACGTTCTTGCAGGACATGTTCCGCAGTTTGTACATGCACGCACAGTGGTGAACTACTTAGTCGAAGACTGCGTATGCTTGTTAAGTTTGTTATGCCCTGTCCTGAGTTTAGAATGATGACCTGCTCATGCCGATCAGGTAAGTGGTAGTCATCTGTGGCCACCACCTTCTGCGATAGTAAAGAATAGGGCGACTTGGCTTGAGTTGTTTAAGGGCCTATGCAGCATTGGGGAATAAATAGCAGAAGAAGAAGAAATTATCCTGCGCTCAATTTTTTTTCTTACCGTTTGATTAAATAGAATTTTGTCTAGTTCTTTCCTCAAGTTCTACAATATTTCATACTGCTTTATTAATTCACTAATTAATAAAGATTAAGGATTTTTTCAACAATATTAGGGGTTGTTTGTGATCATTTTATCTATTTAGCAATTTTCTTTCCAGCCATTTTCAGGTGCTAATTTTATGAGGCTGTGTTTACAAGAACATGTGCTTATAAATTCTCTCTCCCCCCAACTCTCCTTTTTGTGTGTCTCTGTGTGTGCCTCTCTGACCCCATCCTCCCTGTGTGTGAGAAAGACTGACAGTATATTAGTATGTGTATATAAACATACTGTATGTATTAAGTAATACTATTTTATAACTAAATTAATTACATTTGTGCTTGCACAGAAAGGATTTAAAGAGGATTCTTATGTGGGAGAAAAATTAAATGGCATGAGAAAATGTTCATTTATAAAGTGTATCAGTGTATTCTGAACTACTGCGATGATTTATGTGGTGTATGTGAGACAAATATGTCTATGCTCCAATTGATTGATTTCCTAACAAATATGTTAACTGAAGCGGTCAGCAACAACCTTTGATTTATGTGCTTATGTGGGAGGTGTTGTCATGTTAACTTTATATAGGTGTCTTTCTATGTGTACATCGGTCATGCATTTAACACATTGTATGGTTTGAAAGCTAATGGTAATGTTTTTTAAAATAATGTCATGTGTTTATTTCTGTAAAGTACAATTTGAAGAAAATGTTGAGGCATTAATGTTTGTGTCAACAGAATGACATAATCCTTTAAAAGACATGTGCATAACAATCTTCTTCCCTCTACCCCCCTCCCCCACTTTCTCTTCTGTGTGTATGTATCTGTATGTCCGTGTTTGTCTTTTGCTCTGTCTCTCTCTCTCTCTTCCCCCCATTCTCTCTCACAAACAGATGAACTTGAATGATGTGTGAATGAAATATATTTAAGGAGGAGATATCAGAACAAAATCTTAGACAGGCCTGCAACCGAGCCATCAGTCCTGCCACAGATACACAAATCTCAGCTAGTAAACTTGGCACTAATAAACTAGGCCAAAAAAACCAACCTGCAGGATGAATATGGTCCATTTTTATTTCTTTCAGACAGTTGGAATTGGACAGGCTTGAATACCCAGTTTGTAAATATTTGATAATTGTTTGTCCCTTTTTGAGAGACAAAATACACACTTAACGAAAGGTGCAAACAGCCCAACCGTGTGGTGGTAGATTCTGAGGCCATAAACACTGAAGCGAAGCTAAAAAAAAAAATATCATAATCTATATGGATAAATCAAATATTGACCATCAACATTCTGTTAAGACGTTTTGTGTAGAAAAATCACCCAGAGAACCTGTGGGAGTTTTGTAACGATCACAAACAGTCTTAACCATGGGGATAAAAAGCGGTAACAGAGAGGCATATTCTAGCTGGGATTACAAGTGTGTATGCTGAGCTCTCACGTATGTCCTGAAATGCTGAGACAGGTTTTCTCCTGTGCAATTTGAGGGTAGTAAACCAGCTGACATGCTGGGGGAGGGGGGGGGGGACCTAACATAACAGGAGACCACACTTGGAGGTATCTTTACCATTCTAGATCTTATTTCAACTTTCAATGCTGAATCAAGTCGTGGTTACATCCTAATATAACCATCTGCAGGATGTGAAGTTCCACTATTTGGAGCACATCCTTACCCACGAATACTGCAGGTTCACTAGGCCGGTGAAGCAGTACAGGTGCAATCCAGTTATAACTTGTTCGGTGTATCTAGATTTTGTCATCTCATAGTGGTCAAGCCTTCTGGTAGTAGCCCGGAGGTGAAAAAATATGAGGAAGGATTCTCTCCCATTCTGCATACATGTCCAGACCATCATAACTGTGACTGATCCACTTGTGTTTGTAAGGTCTGGGTTTCAATATCATGACATATTGACTGATTGCAAACTTTGTCCCTTCTTGTCACTTGGACAGCCTTTCTCAGATCTCTCATTTTTGAGGCCTGAAGCTGAACACTTGGATAGGTGGAGTTAAATTATTTTCTATTGGAATAGGGGAATTAATTTAAAAACTGAGACTGAATGGGTGAGTGTAACAAATGTATGGAGTTTAGAAATCTATATCATATCAATTGAAACCGACAAGTGCCTGATGAGTTTCCTTGGTACCAAATGGGTTAATGTCAGACTGTTTTTGCGGTTTCAGGTGAAAGTGGTCATTAACAAGTCACCGTGGGAACAGCTGATGATGTGCAAACAACACAGGCAAGAACAATTAAAGTTTTTCTGTGAGAAATGTGAAATGCTGACCTGCAGAGACTGTCAGCTCATGGACCACAAAGAACACAAGTACCAGTTTCTGGATCATGTAAGTTCACAGTCTGATAAACTGTTGTGTATTCTTATCCTAGGGCAAAGGATATTAATCTTGAAAACTTAAATGTTACAGCAGGGTAGACCCCACTTCCTTAGCCTGGGCTAGGAGTGAAGCTGTGACAAGCCGATAGAGAGAGCACTGCATAAACTTCTGCAGCATGATTTCTTCCTATTGTATTGGTGTTACATTCCTCTGGAGTTAACAAAACCCGTTTTGAGCTCCAAAAAAGTTAGTTGTGGTGAAACCTGCAGTCTTGTGCGTCTAGACCAGTGGTTTTCAACCTTCCTAATGCCGCGACCTTTTAATTCAGTTCCTCATGTTGTGGCAACCCTTTAATACAATTCCTCATGTTGTGGCGACCCCCAACCATGCAATTATTTTCGTCGCTACTTCATAACTTCAATGAATATTTGTTTTGCAATGGTCTTTGGCGACCCCATGTGAAAGGGTCATTCGACCCATAGGGTGAGAAACACTTTCTAGACAGTCTGGCATGTCTAGGCTAGTTAGTGGGTGACATGTCAGGCTTGTCTAGTCTTGAGTATGTCATGTCAGACCTGTATAGACTGAGTATGACATGTTTGGAGTATGTCATGTCACACCTGTCTAGACTGAGTGTATATCACATGTCAGGGCATACTAAACTGAGGGTGACATGTCACACCTGTCTAGACTGAGTATAACATGTCAGGGCATACTAGACTGAGTATAACATATCAGGCCATACTAGACTGAGAGGGACATTTCAGGCCTGTCTAGACTTCGTACGACATATTAGGAGTATGTCATGTCAGACCTGTCACTGAGAGGGACATTTCAGGCCTGTCTAGACTTCGTACGACATATTAGGAGTATGTCATGTCAGACCTGTCACTGAGGGGGACATATTAGGCCATACTAGACTGAGAGGGACATTTTAGACCTGTCTGGACTGAGTATGACATGTCAGGCCATACTAGACTGAGAGGGACATTTCAGACCTGTCTGGACTGAGTATGACATATCAGGCCATACTAGACTGAGGGTGACATTTCAGGCCTGTATAGATTGAATATGTCATGTAAGACCTGTATAGAATGACATATCAGGACATACTAGACTGAGGGTGACATTTCAGGCCTGTATAGACTGAATATGTCATGTAAGACCTGTATAGATTGACATATCAGGACATACTAGACTGAGGGTGACATGTCAGACCTGTCCAGACTAAGGGCGACATGTCAGGCCCCTCTAGACTGAGTGAGGCATGTCTTTTCATATTGACAAGCTTGTCCCTTTTCTCTTTTACTTATTACTGTTTCCATCTTTTTTTTTCTTTAACCTTCATCCAAAGGTGTAAATGTGTTATGCATCTTAGCTGCAGTATTTTCACCTTTTGACTGACACATCCAACTTTAGACATTTATAGCCTGTGTTAGCCTTCCTGGTTAGTTTTGTGGGTCATTGTGATGTAAGTCTCATAGATGCCTGTTAACTTTTTTTTCTCGAAAAAATGATCTTTACACACTGTAATTATGTTACTAAGGTGCCAACATCTGATACTAGGACCCCTTTACACGCCTTTCAGGCATATTGGGTATATAGGGCTTGACCTATATTTTATATACCAACGGCACAAGATGGGTGATGTGGTCACCATCACCCCGGCCGCCCTAAGTTCCCAGGACTGTATCTGGTTCCCACTCAAGGCTGGGTCTACCTGGAAGCCAAAGTCATTTTTAAAAAAAGTCCGGCTCCGCCAGGGAGTGAACCCACAACCTTCTGATCCGCAGGGGAACGTCTAGCCGCTACATGACGGCGACTCTTAACATCTGATACTACATAGTGAAATATTTAACTCTTTCAGTACCAGGTATCACAGAATGTTTTTTTTTTTTTTTTTGTTGTTAATGAAAAAAATGTATTTCCATACGTGATAAGTTGGTTACGTATCCTTCACAGGACCTTTGCATTCTTTACTTTTTCAGGCAGCAGAACAGTACAAAGCTAGATTGAAAGGAAGTTTAGCTTTAATGGGAGAGAAGAGAACAAAATTGGCAGCAAGCCGTGATGAAATTGATCAGAAACTTCAAAATTGTAAAGAACAAAAGGATTCTTTACAGCAAGACATACTCAAACAAGCAGACATCTTAGTCAAAGGTATTAGACAGGTGAGAAATATTTAAAAGTAATTGACGCTTTGATGTCGTTGTTTATAGTGGAACAATCTGATTCTATCACACAACCCTCTTTATAGTTGTGGGTTACAGTGACCTTTGAAAAAGGAAAAACCCAGAGTGCAAACAGTTTCACTATTTTCAGGCTGTAACTGAAAACCCTCAAAGGAACTAAGGAAAATGGTAAATATGAATTCTTTTAAATAGGGTGAAGGGGAATATTTTTGACCATCATTGGCACATAAATATGTTCTGTTGTTTACTGGCTGGGTGTTACTAGGGCTCTTAATGGAGGCCAAGAATTCTGACAGTGTAGCCTTTCATGAGTTGAGTTGATTCAAGAACCGACATCACAGCATACAAGGCATTTCCATAAGTGGTGCTATTAACAGTCTGATTATATGTGTGTGTTGCCTTTATTCCCTCGTCCACTCCTCGCTGCATTGCTTTCACCAGACTGTGGTGATCTATCAGCTGTTCCAAATTGTACACTTGCTCTCATAAGGCCTTAACCATGTCTGCCTTATAATGCATCTGTATTCTGTCAAGTTGTGCAGAGCCACCTGATCTGTCGTACTGTTCATTTCCCAACACACCGGCATACCTTTCCTGTAGATTGTAAGAAGTGTTGATCAAGGACAGCTTATGCAAAACTGGCTACTCCATCCTGTGAAAAATCTTCACCTGTAACCAACTGTGAACATGTTGAAGGAAAGAAAAGTAACTTAACCAGTAAAGATGAAAGGAAAAAAAAAGAATCTTGTTTTCCAAGAATATGTATGTCACACTGTGGAGGAAGCCATTTGAAGTATGTTTACCTAGGGAAATTAGAACTACCTCTGAGATCCAAGAGATAAGTTTAGAATATAGGAATGTTATTGAGGGATTTTGTGAAACAGGGCAAACAAAAACGCTCCCATTTAAGATGACACAGCGTTTTCTTAGGCCTTAGCGAGAAAAGTTTCCCACAGTTACTTCTTTCATCCAGAGAAAGCTGTTTTTCCTGAATTTAAGTGTTTTTGATGACATGAAGTCTTTATGCAGTAGCCATTACACCTGTATAAAAGCTCTGGCACTGGTTGCAGCTGCATAGTGTTTAGACTTGGTGAGCATGATTATATGGCAAATGGAAGACCTTTGGACATCGGTCACAACACAGCACATCCCCACCATTGCGACAGCATGCACAATAATCATCATTGGGATCTCCCTGATTGTCAGTCTGGGACAAGGAAAATCCTGGCATGCTGTTACCACCTTGCCAATTTTCCCTCAGCTCCTGGTCTGAGGGCGAGTGTGGTCCTACTGAGATGAACATTGAATTGCTTAATTATTTGATTAAAAAAAAAAAAAGTATTGTATCATTAACCTGGTTTATGGGTTTTTTGATGATACTTTTGGGTAGTTGCCACTATGCTTATATCAGGGTTCGTAGCCAAATTTATCAACCATATTCACGTTGTTTTAAGGTATTTTGCCTTGTTCAAGGGTGTACCGGGCATATGCAGTGCTTTCTTCATGTGCGCAGACATAGACTAGAGTTGTTGGCGGAGCAGAGCAAACTGAAGGGATGATTATTAACATTAGCAAAACTGAATACTCTTTCGTTTTTTCCAAGAAAAATATTTGCTGTACACATAGTAATGGCAAAACAATCAGACTGGTGGGTCATATTAAATATAACTTAGGAAACCGGATTTTTAAAATATTTTTTTTTTTAAAAAAAAAAAAACTGATCAAGATTCCAAGAAAAAATATTTGCTGTATACAAAGTAACGGCAAAACAATCAGACCGGTGGGTCATATTAAATATAATTTAGGAAACCGGATTTTTTAAATATTTAAAAATTTTTTTTTTCTAAACTGATCAAGATTCAAAATTTCTACACCATCTCTCCTTATATAGTTTTTTTTTTTTAGGGCCAAGTATGAGATAACTATAACACATGCTAAATGCACCTGAAAGTCGTCCTTATGTAGGATGCAATTTTGTTGTTATTTGAAGCCCCACCCTGGCTTCTGCCTGGGGCCCTGAATATAGCCGGGCCATTGATATGGCCTAGCGGCTGAAAGAGGTTTCTGGGACCTCTTCACAGGTGATCCTCGTCCGCATGGTGGCACTTTGTGTCACCAGGTGTTTGTTGCTTGTGTGATGTCCTGGTGGGGTACAACTGCCAACCTATAACAGTGCATTTCTTTTCAAGAAATTTGGAAAATCATCAATCACATTGTTAAGCTCCCTATAGGGCTGAGGGGGTTAAGGACAAACAAATGAATGAACAAACTTCATTTTACATCACAAATTGGATACGCAGATCCATCTCGTATTTGGCCTTTCCAAAAACCAACCTTTTACACGGCAATTGTATATTTATCTATAAAGCATGTCATTTTCATAGCAATATATATACAATCTGACTCACCCACACTCACGCGCGCACACAACACACACACATTATTATTTTGCTGCAAAAAAAAAAACCACTTCTAAAAATTGTGTCATCATCATTACGTCATAGCATTCTCATTATGGCAACACTTTGCTCCCTGTGACTTAGTCAGCAAAACCATGTTTATTGTCGTGGTCAGAGGGAAGGAGAGTCAGCAAAACCATGTTTATTGTCGTGGTCAGAGGGAAGGAGAGTCAGCAAAACCATGTTTATTGTTGTGGTCAGAGGGAAGGAGAGTCAGCAAAACCATGTTTATTGTCGTGGTCAGAGGGAAGGAGAGTCAGCAAAACCATATTTATTGTCGTGGTCAGAGGGAAGGAGCGGAGTTTATATTTTGCTGTTTATATTTTGTGATTAATTCTCTACTAAAAAATTTTGGGTTTTCATAGAAATAATGATATTTAAAATAAATTATTTTAATGATTTCACAGCCACACTAGTAGCTCTGAACTTTACTTTCTTGTCTGCTGGGCATTCTAGGGGTTCAAACCCCAGAATGTTTATAAAAATTGCCCAAGACTTCAAATTTGTTCTGCCTTTTCTCTTCTCCTGCACAACTTGGTGGAATACTAATACATGATAAGGCAGACGTGGTTAGTGCCTTGTGGGAGAGCGTGTTCAGTTCGGAGGAGCAGATGAATCACCACAGTCTGGTGAGATTGATGCAGCGGGAAGTGACGAGAGGTTCTGGCAGGTCCTCGAGGCTCAGAGGGAAGGCAAGATGGATGTTTAATCAAAATACTACTGGCACTATTAGTATGGGAACTCTTCGCTGGCTGCTGAAGATGGGGACGGAGCGCTTATGGGAATGCCCCAAGTGCTGTGATGTTGGTTCTTGAATCAAATCAAATCTTTTCCTAGTTTTTTAGGGTAGCGTTTAGGAGAATTATAAAGAATCGTTTTTTTTTTAAAACAAACATTTTGACCCCTTCCGTTGGGCCATTTGTGAAGATGATTCTGAGCTATAAGGTTAAAGAGTAGTGTAATGCTTCTTGAGAGGCAGATGAGCTTTAGCAGAGCGGGGAGGTTTTAGAATATCATCATCATCATCCTGTGCTCTGCCAGTTATCATGCGCGGTCATGTTTCAACATCTCACACGATCATTAGAATCATGAATCAGGTCAGTAGTCTCTTGTCTCACCCCATCATAATGACCTTCTGTAAAGGACCTGTTACGTGATGGTGAGCTGCACCTTCACATAGTTTTAAAAAAAAATTGTTAACTGTTGCACTCTGGACTAACGTGTCTGTGGTCAGTCTAACAAACAGTCATCGGCACAGATGTAGATTACACCCATCTTTCTCTCATAGTCTATGTTAATTTTTAACTTATTGTAGACGGAGATGGAGCGCTTATGGCAATGCCCTCGGAGCTGTGATGTCGGTTCTTTAAACTCAACTCAACTTGACTAAATTTCAACTTATTTTACTAGCTATTTCACATTTTTCAAGTTATCAGAGAACCATTTCATGTATTTTTTAAGGCTGTTTGGGGAGTATTGTCCAATCTGGCCTCATTCACTGATGCAGCCACAAAACGCCTGAACAAGGAAATTGACGATGTGTCAGACCTAATTGGTAAATTTGACCACTGTATCCAGTTCATGGAGGACATATTGAAGGAGGGCTCCAGCATGTCTTTGCTTTATTCCAAAGGAAATGTGGAAACAAAGTGTCGGAAGGTGTACCATACTCAGGTCAGTAACATTTTGTGAAATTGTGGGGGAGATGTGATAGTTTTGTCAGTGATTGCTGAGATTTCTTTGAAACTTTTTGTATGCATTTCTGTTCCCTGTTGCTTTCTCACTCATTCCATCTCTGTAATTGTGAGGATAAATGAACTTGTTTTCACAGTGATTGCTTAGATTTCTCTCCCTCTTCCTGTATATCTTACTTTTCCACCCCGCCCTCCTTCCTTTCTACTCCATCTTCATCCTCCTCCTCTGTATATTTCTATCTCGTACATTTCCTGTTTCTTTCCTAAAGAATTAAGTGGAAAGTGCAGCATATGTGACTTGGAAAACATGCGAAAAAAGCAAGCAAGTGGCCATCTTCATACTCCTGGAACCTAAGAGAGTTATTGAACAAATTAATAAATGTAGTTCGAATTATTAAATTGAAAAGGCGAGAAAATGTCCTTTTGGGGGTCCAACAAAATTGTTGAATTTAGCATATTTAGCATACATTCATGTGAATTCTTGCCTGTGCAACAAAGGTCCTGTACTTATAATTTTACTGAGACACCTAGGGATCATGATTGGACTTGCTGTGTTTGTGCGACGCTGTCGGCAGACTGGTAGCTTTTCTACAGAGAGAGACAGAGCCATATGGGATGAATCCCAGTGCAGAGAGGGAGCCGCCGTGGTCTAGTGGCTAGACGCTTGCCTGCGGATCGGGTGGTCGTGGATTCGGTTCCTGACATAGGCCGATCTTTTTTAAAAAAAAATTGACTTTTGCTGCCAGCCTTGAGTGGGTACAGGTGCAGTCCTGGGAAGTAAAGGCAGCTGGCATGATGCTGACCACATCACCCACCAAGTGCCATGGTCTATAAAATACAGGTCTAGCCCTATATACCCTGTAGGCATGAAAGGTGTGGAAAAGTATCCTTTACCTTTTTTTTTAAATCAATGCAGAGGTTGTTCACATAACATGCCACTAAAAGAAAAGGATCATTAAATCAATCAGAAAACCACCAGTTCTAGTATAAGATGACTACTCTTTTATGGGCAGATCAGAACGAGTCATTATCCTGTGCCTCAGAACAGGACACAACCGATTATGCAGCCATGTGTACGCGAAATTTAAGATAGGTGTATCGACCATGTGCATTTGTCGAAGGTTGCCCCAGACAGCAGAACACTGCAGGACTGCACTAAAAATGATGCATTAAGCCAGACCTTTTGGACAGAAAGAACAACAGTAGAATGTAAATTCTGGACCACTTAATGATCTAAAAATTTATATGACAGACAAAATTCCTGATATAGACAGCTTAATTTAGGCGAACGAAAGAAGTTGATCCTCTCAAGCTTTAACATTTTTACTTTTAATTCTTTTCTTTATTGAAGCCAAATGTGATGATTGTTTGCAGGTTGACCCCCAGTCTCTCAAAGGAACATTGTCCATTGCCTACAAACATGAAGTGAACTGGCTTCTGGGAAATCTGAATAAGATTGGAGCTATCTTTGTTAACGGGGTGCGGTATCCCCCAGAGAAGAACGGTCAAGGAGCACGGCAGAGTCCGAGTTGTGGATATCAGGACCCCAGATCTGGTGGAATGACAGCAACAAGTCCTCATCTGCAGCATATGGCAAATCAGGTAATGACTCAGTAGCACCATTGTCCAGTAGTGGCCAAAAGTTTAAGACCACCTGGTAAATAAATATTCCCATGTTATAGATTATTGCACAATCTTTTTTTTTTTAAGGACAGAATTTTGGGGAAATGATTTCCTTTCTTCTTCGTCTGCCTTTCTAGCCCCCAATAGAGCATAAGCCCTCAATCAACTCACACTAAGTCGTTGTGTCTTTTGCTATTGCATGTAGCTCTCCACATGTCCTCCCCATCTTTCTAATTTCATTTTCCAGCTCCCTTCTCCATGTTTTTGGCCTTCTTTTATTCCTATGCCCCTTGGGGTTCCAGTGCTAAGACATTCTAGTTTTATTGTTCTCCGGTTTTCTCAGTGTGTGTCCTATCCAACGCCAGTGTCTGTTCTCCACCTCTTGGTCCACTAGAGCTTGGTTAGTTCTCTCTGAAAGCTCTACATTAGTGATTATATCATGCCATTTAATTCCCTCTATTCTTTATTGCAGAGTAGAATAGCAGTGGATGTAACGGTATGGAAAAGTCAGATATTTACTAGATGGTCTTAAACTTGGGCCACACTGAGATAAGTGATTTAATGGCAGTATTGTTTGCCTGAAAATATGGGTTTGCCTGCTGTACCTAAGAATCAAGATGTGAGGAAAGATACATTTAGAGTTCCATACTCTGTTGAGGTTTAGAAAACTTCACGACCTTGCCAGTGTAATAGTGACAGTAGCGGCTAATTTACTTTCTGGTGCTTGCAGGCAAATTATAACACGGTTGCATCACCGTGTTGACAGTCAACTTCTACTTCACGGAGAGGTCTTGATTTATTGATCACATGGAAGGTTGAGACGGAGGAAACTTCTTCTTCTGCGTTCGACATCAGTCTTGCTAAACATTGAGTCCCATCTGGTCACAAATAGGATTGTGCATTTAAGGTCGCCACCGGTCACCCACAGCATCTCTTGCAATGTGGCTCCCTTGGGCCAGATCCACAGTCTTTGTAGTAGCTTGGGGTGGGCCCCCTGCCTCGAAGGCGACATCCCTACCCGTCCAGGTCCCATAGGAATGACACCATTACGTAATAATGTTGTTTGCATGACCATATCGCTAGTGCGTAGATGCCCGATTTTTAGTCCCGTGCCAAGTAGGCTGACATCTTCGACGGTTGAGGTTTATTTTCGGGATTCCCCCTCCCATAGGCTGATTGCCTTCCAGGGCTTATGAGCTCTGCCTACCCACATTTTCTGTCGGGCTTTGTTGCCCTAGCCTTTTTTCTTACTGGAACTTCCCACAAGGCAGTGGTGGTTTGGCAATAGGTGTGTCCTTCACGTAGATGAATTGCCTTTCAGGGCTTTTGAGCTTCATCTGCCCAGGGAAGGACACTGAAGTTTGAGTTTTACATCATGGCTTGGAAGATCATCTGTGTCGGAAATGATTGAATGTCAACGAGACAGAAGGTTGTGGATAGACATGATTACTAGTGCCACAGGGCATGGACTATTAGAAGAAGGATTGCATGAGAAACAGACAAAAACAAATGCTAGCTAAAGTCAAGAGTTGTTACAACACATGAAACACGATGCTTAACTCACGTGACAGTAACTTACCATTCATTAATTTGTCATTCCAGTTTCATGCCTTTCTAAAATTGATTTACCTGTGACAGATTACTGTGTCAAAATTTGGTGCAGTAAGAGTTAAAATAACTCAGTCATAATTGGGCGGCTTAATGGTCAGCTTTGTTGCAGAAATGTCAGACACTCAGTTTTAATAATAAACAGCTTCAGTGCAGTCCTGGTGTCCTTGAAGGTTTTGTTACAGAATTGTTTGTCCTTGAAGAATGGGACCTGTATTGTTCGTATCTTGTTTGTGATTTGCTATTTTAGTTTGTCCTATGTGTCTGATTATGCGGAGTTGCTGCGACAGTACTTGTCTTTTTCTCTGTTCGATTGTTTCTTATGTTTGTCTATCTTTTTATTGTTGCAGTCACGAGATGAGGAAAACATGGTAATTATAACTCCTGTAAAAAAAAAAATTAGCTCTTGTTGCATCTCATGTCTATTTTTTTTTTTTTTTTCTCTGTATGTTTTGTATTTGTCAGAAGCAAAATATTACATGTTTGTTACTTATTTTAGTGAATCTCCAGTGTATTCTCATTTAGGTAATCTAGGCCAGCCTTTTTCCATTTGACGATCCTCTGAACATATTAAAGGGGGCCCGTGATACCATTACCAAAACAAACAAAAAATCATTAAATTTAGAATACAGTTCTTTTTGCAACTCTGATTAATGTTTTAAAAACGGGGGTAATTGTAGTTAAGCTAATACTATGATATTAATCCACTGAACTTTGACTTTATTGAGAAAAGCTCTTGCCGAAATGTTCAATTTGCTTATGTGTATGCATCGTTACCCTTTATTCCATTGCTAAACTTCTTAGACTCAGTTCAATGGATTAATTTCTTAACTATAAATTATACGTTCTTCAGTATGACTATTAAAGAGTAGGGGTTCTGCGGCTGACCTTTAAAAATGAGAGGGGCTGCAGGTCTTGGCTAATTAAGAACCACTGATATAGGGGCTGCAGGTCTTAGTTAATTAGGAACCACTGATATAGGGGCTGCAGGTCTTAGCTAATTAGGAACCACTGATATAGGGGCTGCAGGTCTTAGCTAATTAGGAACCACTGATATAGGGGCTGCAGGTCTTAGCTAATTAGGAACCACTGATAAAGGCCCCGAAAAGTCGTGTGTCTGCATGAGGTTAGTGTTGAGACTTCTCTGATTTTATGCCAGAGTTCTTCCTCACGCTCTCCGGCTGTAAGTGGTCAAGCCGTTTGCCTCGTGCTCTGAATGGCCGTGGGTTCATTTCTAATAGCTGATTGCCTGAACCAGGTCATGATTCAACACAGTATAAATAGACTTTGGTTAGTGGTTAGGATAGTGATATTGCCTTCACAGCACCAACAGAAGATAAGTTCATTGTCAACAGACTCACGCTAACGCCCATGAGGAAACTAGTGATAGGGTAGGCTTGGTTAATACTCATATACTTGTCAGGTCTTGGTTCCAGAACCTGAGTTGTGTCTGCCAATCTATTTTACAGATCTAGCTTATTGGTACCTCTTGGTGGGGAAAAACAAGAATAGACCCACAACCTCTCCAACATGCATGTCGTAGGAGTTAACTAATTTGGGTAATCCTTCAAAGTCGGAGTGCATCTGCCTGTGAGGCAAGGAACCAACAGTTTGCATACAAATAGGCTAGATCTGTAAAACTGATGTGCTCACAACATTCATGTTCTGGAGCAAGACTAAAGTCCGGAGGTGGACAAATAACCAGAACTTTCTGCCAGAGTTTACAGCTGGTGAGCGTGGAGATAAAGAAGAATAGGTATCAACCCTGGGCTGTGTGTGATTATCATGTCTCTCTATGATGCAGTGGAAGACTGCCACCATCTTGAAAGACTCAGAGGTGCCAGCAACAGCAGTAGTTGAGCTAGTCAGTTGAACACCATAAATGTAACAGCAGAGGTGGCACCTTTAACATTTTTAAAGCTAATTATGTACACATAACTTCTGTTTGCTGATACTGTGACTAGTCACAACAGTGTAAACAGAAAGCTGTGATTTGTTTTATCACTAAATTAGTAGCACAGACCTATATAACATGTAAATGTTAGTGTCTTTGTGTGATTATGTCTCAGCCTTGTGGGATTCATTGGTTCTGCTTTGCTTCAATTCTTTGTATGCAGCTGATACAATATAGCAAAATATACCAGGCATTATTTGTACAGTCTGTTTGCTTGTATCTTTGGTTATGTTTTGTATATCCTCTTCCTCATTCACATGTAAACTTCCATGTTATTGACTCCAACAAAAGCAGTAAATAGCTGCGTGTTCATAACATCCTGTAGAGATTTTGTTGAAGAAAGCTAGTTGATAGCATAGGATGTTATCGGGGAGACCTGGGTTTGAATACTCTGTAAGGTGATTCTATTTCTCTCAAGGGCATTTAAAAAAAAAAAAAATCCCTACTTGCTGAGTTTTTTGGTGATTGTGCTAGCACTAATCCTAACACCCAAGACAGCCCACATTTTCACACACCTCCCTGAAAAGTGGTACATATAGGCAAAGCCTTATTGTAATCAGCATTCCTCGTGTAGATTCCAGAAAAACAGTAAACGTACTGTCTGCTCAAAAGCATGTCGAAATTGGGAGCTTTCTTCGAAGTCAGAGTACATCTGCCTGAGAGGCAAAGAACCAACTGTCTGTATGCAGAGTCAGACCTGTGAAACGGATGTGCATGCAACAATCAGTTTCTGGAAACGGGTTAGATACCAGAAGTGGATAAACAACTAGAACTTTCCACCAGAGTTTACAGTGGGTGAAGACAAAGAAGAACTTCATCAGTAAGTCTTACCTTTTCACTTATGATGTTTTTTCCTCCTCTTTCTAGCCAATACCTGGTCATAGAGTACCTTCTGACTGGACAAAGTTTATTCAGACTGTATCGAAGCCTGTGGGGCAGTCTCAGGTTCCTCCAAACATGACGATGTCATCTCTAGGCACCACTGGGTCGCTGCCGCCTCAGCTTACACTGCCCTCAAATAGACGAACACAAAGTGGTAGTTCAATGGGCCAGCCGTGGCAAGGTGAGAAATGTATGCCTTGTTTTCATTGGCCGTGTTTGTGGCGGTTCCTGCTGGAATGCATAGTGCTTACCTATCTGTATTTTAGAACACTTCAACATTTTTCCTTAAGGTAATTTTGTCAGCTCCTTTTTTTTCTCCCCTTCTGTTACTTATTCTTCTTCATTCACTCTTGAGAATGACACATTGTGTTGTGGTTTACAACTAGGTTGTGACATTTGCACCTGTCAACCCAGCATATCTGATGTCAGTAAATTCTTGATTAGCCACCTTTTATCATATTCCGGGTAAGGGACAGGGGTCTACTGTCAACCAAATATCAGATGCTCAGGAACCCACAGTCAGTTCTCACCTCTATTCCTTTGTGTGTGAGACTAGTAAAGCAACCCCAAAAATACAGGAACTGTTTTCACACTTTAAAGTCTCCTGGGTACATTGTATGGTGCTAGCCACTAAATATCAGTGTCAGTATTTCAGTACCATTACTTTCCAGGGCATTCCTGATACCCAGTTTTAGCTAGGCTACCTGGCTGTGAAGGTCAAAGCCCCCCCCCCCCATCCCCAATCATAGGGGTAGGCCTATATTGTATGGACCAATTAGCAAATGATGAGTGATGCGGTCAGCATCATGCTGGCCACCTTTACTTCCCAGGACTGCACCTGGTACCCGCTCAAGTTAGCCTGTAGAAGGAGGGGTACACTATTTCTATATCAATTGGTAACCATAAGATCATGCGGTAAGCATCAGATAATTATGCGGAAAGGCAAAGATAGTTGACGAATGCAGAAGAAATTTAAGATTATGTTAAGTGTAAATTTAAATAGTATTGCTGGTTTTATTTATCATACGTGTTAACCTTTAGTAGAAATATATTACATGTTGTATGTATATGGGTTGATTTGGGGAATATCTGTTTTCATAGGTCCACCTGGAATGCCTGGACATACGTTTCCTGGCCACTTTGTTGCCGGTCAGCTCCTGACACCACAGCAGCAGCAGCAACAGGTACCTCAGATTTGTTGAAACTAGATTGCCCATTGTACTGAAACCCACAGGGCAAAATATAGAGGGAATTAAAGGTGTATGAATAATTTGGGGAAGACACATAGAAGCTGCAGAATGTGGTCGTAGATGGGACAACACTTTGGCATCAGTTGGTTGAGGGTCTGTGATCTGCGTCAGGATGGGATAAAGGAGAAATGTCTATGGATTGTGTGCTTAATGCCTGCTGTTGCATAAAATGTCTAATTTCTCTATAAGATTAATTTACTTGGGTGTCCCGTTAGTTGCCATACATGAATAAAATAACCACTATAACTAGCACAACTGCAGCTGATTATGTGTTTATTCATGGTGGGGGGGGGGGGGGGGGCTGCCATTTACTCAGAGGTGGGGGGGGGGGGGGTGCCATTTACTCAAAGGTGGGGGGGGGGGGCCATACTCAAAGGTGGGGGGGGGGGGGGGGGTCTTGCAATGTTTTCAAAAGGGGGAGTATTGGACTTGCCATGTGCTCAAAAGGGAGAGTGGTGTTCTTGCCATGTGCTCAAAAGGGGAGTGGTGTTCTTATCATGTGCTCAAAAGGGGAGTGGTGTTCTTGCCATGTGCTCAAAAGGGGAGTGGTGTTCTTGCCATGTGCTCAAAAGGGGAGTGGTGGTCTTGCCATGTGCTCAAAAGGGGAGTGGTGGTCTTGCCATGTGCTCAAAAGGGGAGTGGTGGTCTTGCCATGTGCTCAAAAGGGAGAGTGGTGTTCTTGCCATGTGCTCAAAAGGGAGAGTGGTGTTCTTGCCATGTGCTCAAAGGGAGAGTGGTGTTCTTGCCATGTGCTCAAAGGGAGAGTATACGTGACATGAGGAAAGTTCAGAGACCACTGCTCTAGAGGAAGTCCTGCCGACACATGTTTTTTAGAGAAGAGAATGCCTTGATGAAAGCTTTTCTTCACAGCATGCTTGCTTGGCAGCCGGCAGTCTTTTTCTTAGCGTTAACCAGCTGTAAATTCTGGCAGAAAGTTCTGGTTCATCCATTATGGACTTAAACTTTTGTTCTGGAGTTTTTGGTGCACATCCACAGTACAGATCTGACTTACTTCAATTGCAGACTGTTGGATTCCTTTCCTCTCAGGCAGATGTGTTACAATTTCAGAGGAAAATTAGGTGCTTTATTAATATCCTACCCCAAACAGGGGAAATCCACAGGTCACGAGACAGCCTAATATTTCAGGGGGTGGTAGATAGACTGTCTACACTCGTGGGACCTAGGCTGTAGTCTCTCTTGGGATGTAGGTTGGTTGGGGTTAGGGCCAGTTCTAAAAGTTTTGGGGTCGTTAAAAGCATTAGAAAGCTGGGAAACCTATTTTGACCACCCTCTAAAATGTTGGACTGTCCTGTGACGTCATCTGGGGTAGGAAATTAATAAAGCACCAACACCTTTTACAGCATGCTTGTTAGGCAGGCAGTGGGGCTCAGAAGCCACAGCGGTCAGCCGGCAGTCATAATTTCATATTCCAATTAAGGCAATATTTATAATCCACCTGGATTCTCAGTTATCAGAATAAAGTGAGTAACAGGAAATTTTCTTGAAAGTAAATGTTAACTTTGTAATAGCTTGATGCTATGGTGTTGAGCGCCAGTCATTCATAAAGTAATCTCAAACTGCTGAATATAAACCCCAGCAACTCCAAAAAAAAAGTGCTGGGGTAAGTTCTCCACAGTCCTGTAATGGTTATGCAGCTAACAGTAAAAATAGCTGGCATGATGTAACCACATAATAGAAACTGTGGAGCTGCCACCATATGCATATATGATGTCTCAAGTTTTAACTTGGGAGCACTGAGCTGTCTAGCTTGTTTGACACTGAACTTAAAGTTTGTCTATTCTTTGATTTATAGGTTTAACCCTATATAGCCCTTACACCTTAAGGAGTTCAAAAGGGTTCTTTGCTATTTTTATTTTTTAAATACTGAGATTTCTATTTCTAGCTTGTCTCTTCTTTCATGCCAGATCTCTGCTGCCTTTTTGGTCACTGAGCCACAAAGAACATTCACCTTAATCTGGTAGTCTCTCATTTTGCCTCATACTAAAAAAAAAAAAAAGTTGAAATTTTGTTTGCGTGTTTTTCCCCACAGGCTTCAAAGCCCTCTTTCACACCAATGAGGTTGCACCATAGACCAGCCACACAAGCTTCCTTCACAGGACAAAATGACCACAGTAAGAAATTCTTCATTTTTTTGTGTGTGCCTTTCTGTATTGTGTGTAGGAATATGTGGTGTATGGGTAATGAGCACAATTTTTAATTCTGACATCCTGAATTTCGATTCGGCTGCAGGCGTTTCTTCAGCAGATTGCTTTGCATTGATTTCTTCAACTATTCACACACACAAAAAAAAAAAAAAAAGCAGTAGCACTCTCCTACTGATATAAAATTGGTAAAAAACCACTGGCTTCAAACAAAAGCTGGGGGTCCAGATGGTTTGGACACGGGTCAGAGACTACCACAGGATAATGCACCACAGAGTGCCCTGTCGCTTAGACATGATGATAGCAGATCTAGAGGTTGACTACACAAGCAATGGATAGATGGATTGTCCAAATCTGTAAATACCTGAGTCTACATAGCACAGACCAAGGCTCACACTTAGTGTCTTTTCAAAACCTGATGCTGATGGCAGAACAAGACCAGAGAAGAAGAAGAAAGATACAGATATGCAATAACTATTTTGTTTTAAATATAATGAAACTTATGCTCATGATATCTTTTTTCCCCCATGATTGCCAACTAATTGAATTGCTAAATCCACAAGCAGCCAACAATTTGTCATGAGGGAGTTTCCTGACTATTCTACTAACCATTAAAGTGGATGGTTCAGTTACAACAGAGGTAATCAGAAAAATGCTGCTCGTGCAAGGCACGAATTGCCAAGAGAGACAACATGTTTCTTCCTGTTCGGTTCACCAGCTGTAAACTCCAGCGGAAAATTCTAGTTCTTTGTCCATTTCTGTTGTTCCAGAAAGTGAATTTTGCGTGCACATTAATTTTACAGATGTGGCTTATTTCTTTGCAGACTGTTGGTTCCTTGCCTCTCAAATAGAAAGAAGCAGACTAATTTCAAAGGAAACCAAACACCCCCCTCCCCGCAATGGGGCCCTGAAACCTGGGAGAGACAACCTTAATATCCCAGTATCTTATAAAATCATTTAAATTAACATAGCAGTGGTGCAGAATGTCCCGATAAATGTATTTCTTGATAGAATGCCCTGATAGTGTTTTTCTTCGAAGGAAGTCCTGTTAACGCATGTTCTCTTGACATTGTCCGAACATTTCTTAAGAACATTTTCCCCGATGATGTATCTTCTTGTTCAGTAAAGTGTTCTTCATGTCTTGCAGGATCACAGAGTATGCGCAGTCCACCACAGTATCGCATGGGTGGAGAAGCTAGTGGCAATCCTCGTTCAACTCACAGCACTCCTGACCCAGCTCGCCCAGCCAGTGCTGGCATGTATGACAATAATGGACGCCCAGACAGGTCAGCTTTTTTCTGTTGTCCGTTTATATTTTTAGCCGTCCACAGGCTGTCTATTTGCGCATTTATGCCTTTGGTCTGTTTATGGGTCTTTCTTGTTTACCTTTTATATCTGCTGATTAAACATCTATTCTACCATTTATCCACTGCAATATGGCAAAGGTGTAGAATATCCTGATGACAGTGTTTCGTTAGCGGAAGGCAGGATGACACATCTGGTTACTTACATATTTATATCTTCAAACTGTTTATAGATCAGTACTGTCATCCTTTTCTGTCTGAATATTTATACTTTAATGCCCCCCGCCCCCTTTTTTTAAACCTTGGTCGCTTTACCCATTTGTTTGTATTAGGCCATCTGCTGGCTGAGTCTGGTTATTTATTTATAGCTTTATGATCCCACCTGTGCTTCAAAAAGATGTATGTATTACTGGTTACTGTATCAAGGTACTGCCTGCGTATCCTATCTGCTGAAATACACTATATATTTAGTCATATTTTCTGTGCTGTCCAACTGTTATATTTTGGCTATTTGCCTGCTGTGCTTAGTTACATCTATGCTGTCCACCTGCTGTATTTAGCCATGTATTTATATTGTCTGCTGGTTGTATTTGGTTACCAAATAAATGATCCCATCCTTTTGCTGAATCTGATTATTTATACATTTGTGCTGTTATGAGTGCTGTATCTTTGTTGTTGTTATCGATCCAGCGGCGCATGAGCTTTCGCCCTTTGGCCGAGTGCCATGTAGTATGCTGTATCTTTATACTGTCTGCTTGCAATATCTGGATAGCTTGCATTTATACTTTAATTTATACTGTGCTCCTGTTTGTTTCCACAGTTATGTGTGGATTTCCTTTAAATTAATTGCTGTTTTTTTTTAAATAAAGAAAACAAGAAACACAAACTATACATGCACACTGTTTCTGACATTGTGTTTATTTTCTGTTTACAGTGGGGGAGGTTCGGTTATGGTGGATGTCAAGAAAGAGAAACGGGATCACTCTCCAGACTGTGTCATCATGTCCTCCAGCATCAAGAGTGACAGAGCCACCGCGTATCCATTTCCTGTGAGTTATCAAGCTGTACTCTTGGTTTCCGTGTGGGTTTCTCAGTCCCATTTTGTGGGGGAAATCATTTAACAAGCATGTCTTAGCAGTCGACTAATTGGGAGCTTCCTGTACAGTCGGAGCGCATCTGCCCGAGTAGCAAATAAGGCGGTAAAACAGATGTACATACAAAACTCTGGCCCTGGCACAAAGGCAAAGTCCAACTGGATGAAAAACTAGGACTTTCTGCCGGAGCTAACAGCTGGTGAACAAAGAAGAAGAATTACTCTTGGGAATCTCTAGTAGCCTCAGCAGCATTCCCATTAGTGGTAGTAGTAGCAGTAATGACTGCAGCATTCCCATTAGTGGTAGCAGTAATGACTGCAGCATTCCCATTAGTGGTAGTAGTAGCAGTAATGACTGCAGCATTCCCATTAGTGGTAGTAGTAGCAGTAATGACTGCAGCATTCCCATTAGTGGTAGTAGTAGCAGTAATGACTGCAGCATTCCCATTAGTGGTAGCAGTAATGACTGCAGCATTCCCATTAGTGGTAGTAGTAGCAGTAATGACTGCAGCATTCCCATTAGTGGTAGTAGTAGTAGCAGTAATGACTGCAGCATTCCCATTAGTGGTAGTAGTAGCAGTAATGACTGCAGCATTCCCATTAGTGGTAGTAGTAGCAGTAATGACTGCAGCATTCCCATTAGTGGTAGCAGTAATGACTGCAGCATTCCCATTAGTGGTAGCAGTAATGACTGCAGCATTCCCATTGGTAGTGTAGCAGTAATGACTGCAGCATATTAGTGGTAGCAGTAATGACTGCAGCATTCCCATTAGTGGTAGTAGTAGCAGTAATGACAGCATTCCCATTAGTGGTGACAGTAATGACTGCAGCATTCCCATTAGTGGTAGTAGTAGCAGTAATGACTGCAGCATTCAGTAGCAGTAATGACTGCATGACTGCAGCATTCCCATTAGTGGTAGCAGTAATGACTGCAGCATTCCCATTAGTGGTAGCAGTAATGACTGCAGCATTCCCATTAGTGGTAGCAGTAATGACTGCAGCATTCCCATTAGTGGTAGCAGTAATGACTGCAGCATTCCCATTAGTGGTAGCAGTAATGACTGCAGCATTCCCATTAGTGGTAGCAGTAATGACTGCAGCATTCCCATTAGTGGTAGTGGTAGCAGTAATGACTGCAGCATTCCCATTAGTGGTAGTAGTAGCAGTAATGACTGCAGCATTCCCATTAGTGGTAGTAGTAGCAGTAATGACTGCAGCATTCCCATTAGTGGTAGTAGTAGCAGTAATGACTGCAGCATTCCCATTAGTGGTAGCAGTAATGACTGCAGCATTCCCATTAGTGGTAGTAGTAGCAGTAATGACTGCAGCATTCCCATTAGTGGTAGTAGTAGTAGCAGTAATGACTGCAGCATTCCCATTAGTGGTAGTAGTAGCAGTAATGACTGCAGCATTCCCATTAGTGGTAGTAGTAGCAGTAATGACTGCAGCATTCCCATTAGTGGTAGTAGTAGCAGTAATGACTGCAGCATTCCCATTAGTGGTAGTGGTAGCAGTAATGACTGCAGCATTCCCATTAGTGGTAGTGGTAGCAGTAATGACTGCAGCATTCCCATTAGTGGTAGTGGTAGCAGTAATGACTGCAGCATTCCCATTAGTGGTAGTAGTAGCAGTAATGACTGCAGCATTCCCATTAGTGGTAGTAGTAGTAGCAGTAATGACTGCAGCATTCCCATTAGTGGTAGTAGTAGCAGTAATGTTTTATTGTAGTTTTATTGTAGTTTTATTGTAGTTTTATTGTATTTGTTGGAGATTGAAAGTGTAAAAGTGCAGATATTTTCAGATTTCTTGTGGGAATGGAAAGAGAGCTCTGTGATAGTCTTTTTGAATGGTACTGTAATACCTGATCAGCAGTGTGAAAATGTTAAATTATAAAGGAGTAAAGGGTCATGATTGATTTATCCTCAATTCCAGAATATAATTTTATTCAGAAGAATTTTGATGGTTAGACTGATTGTCGGCACATTACCGTCTTTCCCATCGATAGTGTTATATCGTGTCATAGAGAGACGGAATCATAGCCAGTGGCAGTGGCGTGACTAGCAAGATCTGTTATTTAGATGTCTTCAACAATTAGATAATGGAATTTAATGATTATGATCACATTGACAGACTTATTCTATAAGTATATTAAAACACTTGTTTGTACTATTGATAGATGTTTTTTCTTTTCTTTTCAGAAATCCGAAACAGCATTAGTGAGTAGTAAAGTTTTCACATTATTCCTGTGGGTTTATTTTAATTGCAGTGATAAACGCTTGTTTTTATTTTAATAAATGTCCATTCCTTTTGATACATTCTACAGCTTTGGATAACGTCAAATTTCTCTGATAGTTTAGCCCATGCCACAGCTTATTTATGGTTTAAAGCTAGGATTGTCAGAATAGTTTAACAAATGTTCCCTTCAGCTGCAAATAGCAGGTTTCATCCACATTACTTACACATAACCTAGAGATTGTTTTGAAAAACCTCAAATATTTTGGCTAAACAAGGCCACAGATGAAAGCAGGAAGGGGAATTTTTGTTTATCAAGAACAAGAAAATGTAAACAGCTTTAAGATATTTGCAGAATCCCTCCTGATACTTTGTCAAGGTAGTGGACAGCAGGTGGGAAGAGGAGACATGGAGGACCTAAGAAAATCTGGAGAAGGATGGTAGAAAGGGGAGTGAAGGAATGTAAACTGACATGTCCAACTATGACAAAATAGCAGCAGACCTCCAGGAATGGAGATCACTTGTTTGTTTGCATTCACTGGCTGTAAATTCCAGCAGAAAGTCCTGGTTGTTTCTCCACTTCTTCTGGGCTTTGACTTTGTTTCAGGAGCTGGGTTTTGTATGGAGATCTGTTATGAAAGCCTTTTGTTTTAACAGTGACATGAAGAAGATATAGGCAGACAGAACAAGCATTACATTATCTTAGCCCAGTGGTTCCCAAACTGCGTTTCAAAATATTCGAAGATAAATTTTTTTTAAAAATCTCTTACATACGAATAGTCATACTTTTACTTAGGTTAGGGCGCTGTAGAAAAATTGTAATTAAAAAAGGTGCCGCGACTAAGAAAAGTTTGGGAATCACTGTCCTAGCCTATAATATCAGTCCTATTCTGCAAGCCTGTGGTCTCAGTGTGTCCTGCTATCTTGTGGTCTCAGTCTGTGGACTGTCAGCAGTTTTAGTATGGGGCACTCCCCATGTGGCGGTTTATGGGGTCCTGTTGTGGGGAAAAACTAGGATAGACCCACCTCCTGCCCAAAAGCATGTCGTAAAAGTCGACTATTTGGGAGCTTTTTTCAGAATCGGAGCACATCTGGCTGAAGCAAGGAACCGATAGTTTGCATGCAGATGAATTAGGCCTGTGAAACGAATGTGCACACAACACTGTTTCTGAAACAGGACTAGAGTCCAGAAGTAAACGAACAACCAGAACTTTTTGCTGGTGTTTAAAGCCGGTGAACGAGAAGAAAGAAGAGGTGTGTGTCACCAGTCTTCACTGTCTCCCTGTGTATTAGTACATTCCCTAAATTATGAAATGGCTTAAATTATGCTAATATGTGCTTTCTGAACCCTTTGCAAATGTAGCTTATTATTTCTCTCTCCTATCTTTCATTGTCTAGCTTTCTCTCATTCTGTACCCAAAAATATATTTTTTTGTTCACACTGAAATTTCCAGCATATTTACTTACGTATTCTTGCTATCTGGATTTTAACAGGAGATGCAGAGAAACCTGGATGAAGTGTTGAGAGCTGTGCCGATGGACCTCGGCGATAACCTAGAACAAATAAGTGGGTCACGACCTAGAACATCTGTTGACAGGGAGCATCTGAGGTCAGCGTCCTCAGATGCTGGTCTGGACTCGTTGTCAGATAGTGAGTTCTTTTGATTTATAGTCAGGTCACTAATGCCACATAGGAGTTTTGAATTTCGTTTAGCTTGATGCAGATTTGAACCCTAGACCTCCTTAAGTGGGTTCTGGGCTGTCATTGAGTAGGGGAGGGATAGACCCACTGTCTCCATAAAAAGCATGTCGTAAGAGTCGACTTGTTAGGAGTTTCTTTCAAAGTGGAAGTGCATCTGCCTGAGAGGTGAGAAACCAACAGTCTTGTGTACAGAAAGCCAGATCCGTAAAACCTGCATGCAAAACTCAGGTTCTGGATCAAGACCAAAGTATAGGAGTGGATGAACCCCCAGAAGATTCTGCCGGAGTTCACAGCTGCTGAACACTAAAAACAATAACACTAGACTGGGCAGGCTGGCTGGCGAGCTTCTAGCTCCTATGCAACCACAGCTGCTTTAGCAGAATATGGCAGCACTTTGGAAAGACTTTTGATCCTTCAACAGTTTCTCTGCTGCAGACATTTTCATGTGTCCCCCATATGTTTATATATGTATATATATATGTGTGTGTGTGTATAATTATAAATTTTGCTATGAAAATGACATGTTTTATGGGTAAAATACAATTGCTGTGTAAAAGGTTAGTTTTTTTTTTTTTTGAAAGGCCATATATGAGTTGGGCCTGCGTATCCAATTTGTGACGTAAAATGAAGTTTGTTCATTTATTTGTTTGTCCTTAACCCCCTCAACCCTATAGAAAGCTTAAAAATGTGATGATTTTCCTAATTTCTTGAAAAGAAATGCACTGTTATAGGTTGGCAGTTGTACCCCACCAGGACATCACACAAGCAACAAACACCTGGTGACACAAAGTGCCACCATGCGGATGAGGATCACCCGTGAGGTCCCAGAAACCTCTTTCAGCCGCTAGGCCATATCTATGCACCGGCTATATTCAGGACCCCCAGGCAGAAGCAAGGGTAGGGGCTTCAAATAACACACACAAAAAAAGCATCCCACATGGGGACAACTTTCAGGTGCAAATAGCATTTGTTATAGTTCTCTCATACTTTGCCCCAAACCCCCTTTTAAAAAGAATAAATAGATAAGGAGAGATGGTGTAGAAATTTTGAATCTTAGTCAGTTTTTATATTAAACAAAAAACATTTAAAAATCCAGTTTCCTAGGTACCAAATCTGTTATATTTAATGTGACCTACCAGTCTGATTGTTTTGCCGTTACTATGTATACAGCAAATATTTTTTCTTGGAAACTAGTTTTGCTAATGTTATTAATGATCATCCCTTCAGTTTGCTCTGCTCCGCCAACAACAACTCTAGTCTATGTCTGTACACATGAAGAAAGCACTGCATATACCTTGTACACCCTTGAACAAGGCAAAAATACCTTGAATAGAATAAAGTTGATAAATTTGGCTACGAACCCTGATATAAGCATAGTGGCAGCTACCCAAAAATATCATCAAAAACCGATACAAGTTAGAGAACCAGGTTAGTGATACAATACTTTAAAAAAAAAAAAATAATTTCAAATAATTAAGCAATATAATGTTCATCTCAGTAGGACCACACTCGCCCTCAGACCAGGAGCTGAGGGAAAATTGGCAAGGTGGTAACAGCATGCCAGGATTTTCCTTGTCCCAGACTGACAATCAGGGAGATCCCAATGATGATTATTGTGCATGCTGTCACAATGGTGGGGATGTGCTGTGTTGTGACCGATGTCCAAAGGTCTTCCATTTGCAGTGTCACATTCCAGAATTGTCTGCAGTACCAAGGTATGTCTTTTTTGTAGCAGCAGTAGAAGTATTTACACCCTTAGTATCTCTTTCAGTCCTTTTGCGGTTTAATTAGAAAATATATAAAGGTTAATATTTTCTTCTTCTTCGGATATTAAATCTTTGTTACAGCTATCTGGAACGGAGTCGCCGTGGCTTGGTGGCTAGACACAGGGGCGCAGCGAAATATTTGAAGATAAACGATTTTTTTTAAAAATCTCTTACACACGAATAGTTTTACTTATGTTAGGGCGCTGTAGAAAAAATTTAATTGAAAAAAAAAAGGGCTGCGACTAAGACATGTTTGGGAAACACTAGCATAAGATCTTCTTCATTTAATCAATTGCAGCTTTGACTTGTGCTATTTAAAAAAAATTCTTTCCTTCTAGTTTCTGTCATTGACCAAAGGTGTTGCGTATCCTTTACAGGACGTTGCAGAACCAACCCTAACAGCCCCTGGCTGTTGTGTGGTTTCTCTAGGCAAATTTATGTCCAGTAGTTTGCCATTATATAAACAAGGAACAATATGATGCCCTAAACATCGGTGGTCATGAAATACCAGAAATTCGTTATGCTGATGATACAGTATTACTATCAACATCATAAAATGGTTTAGAAAACTTATTAATCTCACTCCAAAGAAATAGTGAAAATCATAACTTATTTCTTAACATAGCAAAAACAAAGATAATGCATACAAACAAAACTGCCATGGAGAAGGAAATATATGTTAATGAGGAAAGATTGGAAGTGGTGGAAAATTTCGAATATCTTGGGTCACTGGTTACCAACAATGGTGACACAATGAAAGAAATTAAACGGCGACTATCAATTGCTCTTCAAAGACTAAAACAACTGAATAAATTATGGAATTGTACAGATAGAATTACAAAGGTCAGATTTTTAAGAGCATGCATCTTTCCCATTGCAACATACGCCTGTGAGACCTGGACACTTACTAAACAAGCGGAACAGCGCATAAATGCATTTGAATATAAATGTTACAGACAGGTTCTAAGAATATCTTGGGTAAAGAAAAGAACAAATGCATCCATACTTCAAGAGCTGAATATTGAAGAGGGTTGGCTAGTAAAGACAATAAAACAAAGAAAATTAAAATATTTTGGTCACTTGAAACGTCATGGAAGTCTAGAGAGAACAATAATGGAGGGGTATATGCCTGGGAAGAGAGGAAGAGGAAGGCCAAGGAGAAGATGGGTGCAGGATGTGGCAGATGATCTCCAGATGGTTGTATCAGATGCAGGACATCTTGCTCAGGATAGGAAGGTTTTCCGGAGGGTTGTTATGGCTGTGAGGTTCCGCGAGGGACATGCTACTGAATGAATGAATGAGTTTGCCATTGCTTTCTGGATGTCATTGACCAGCTACCTGATATTTTACCCGTGTATCTAGTCATTGGAATGTTTGTAAACTGCCATTACTGCCTGAATTTACAGCTTTTAGGAGAAATCTTGAGTGCGAGGATCAAGGGCCACGTGGCTAGTTTAGCCACCACGGACTGAAGGCTGGGATTTTTTTAATTGTACCTAAAAGAAAGAAATCCATCACGCTCACCAAGGATTTGAACTTGGATATCTTGAATGAGAACCCCGCATTTCTAATTCCTCTACCTGCCACTTTCGGTCTTTTTTTCCATGTTAACACTTGTGACAGCATAAACAATTTCTTTGATATTACCATAACCCCTATTTTCTGATTTGATGAATGCATTTATTAAAACACTTTGCAGCGGTTCCTTTGTGTGCACGATGTGTGAAGGTGACACCCCTATCAGTCACGAGGAAATCACCGCCTCCGGCAAGCGCAAGGCTCCTGGGGGACTGCCAGAACATGAGCTCAAGGTGAACTAATCATTGTATTTGTTGTTGTTGCTGTTTGTGAAAGTCATATGACTTTTTGTTGGGGGGGGGGGGGGGGGGTTAAGGTTTTCAGCATGCTGGGATAGACAAGAGGACTTTTAATCAGGTTCCACTTGGCACTTTTGGTAATACAGGAGATAGGGATTTTTAAAATTTGTACTGAAAGTGGGCGGTGGTAGAACAGAAACTGTACGTTTAATGAACAAAAACACGAGTGGCTGATTTGATCAGTTAACATCAATGGTGAAACATGGTGACTGTTTTAACTTATAGAGGCCTGTAGTATAGTGTCTGACTGTTAGTATTTTATTGTCAGGTCTGTGATGAGATGTTTGAGAATGAGTTACAGAGAGCTGAAAATGTAGACCACTTCTAACCTTTAAAAAGAAACTAAATAAAATAGTTGACACATCATTTCGTGTATACATTCTAGATATTTGTGGTAGAAATTTACTTGAACTTCAGCTCTGTGACCTGTATTATTATTATTACATACTTACCTTAGGTTTGTGAGAGAATTCTGCTTGAATTGTTCTGCCATCCGTCGAGTGTACCGTTCCAAGAACCAGTAAACAGAATGGTAACTCATAATTTGTTGTTGTTGGTGATACATTATTAAAACATTATTGCCAGAAATTACTGGACCTTTTTTTTTTAAGTTGTGTCCTGTAGTTGTTAATTGTATTGTTACCAAAGTGAGCCCTTGTGGCATAATGGCTAGATGCTGGCCTGCAGGCCAGAATGTTTAAATCTGCATTAATGATTTTTTTTTCTAAAACTGAACCAGACTAAAATAGATACCAGATAATGTCATGGGAAGTAAAGATGGTCTGAGTGATTTTAATCATGTCATCCATCAAGTGCTGATTGGTTATAAAAATTAGGTTTTGTACTGTATGCCTGGTGAGCCAAATATGTAAAAAAAAAAAAGTTTAAAAAAAACAAACAGCAAAAACAAATTAAAGTAATTACTAAAAACAGGAAATATAAAATGTTACAGCAGTTTCCTATAACAATAATTTATATATTTAAGACAAAACTTTCAACTTTAAAATGTGTATGACAGTATATATCTTCTTGTAAATATGTAGCTCATTCATAGACAAAGCAGATACTCTTGTCTAGGCAGCCAACACCAGTACCATGTAGCAGCATCTGTTTCAGAATGCTACCTCCCCGTGTAGGTTCCAGGACCCCATTGTGGGGAAAAACAAGAGTTAGGCCCACTGCCTAACACCCCCCCCCCCCTCTTCCCAAAGCATGTCGTAAGAGTTGACTAAGTGGGAGCTTTCTTCGAAGTCGGAATGCGTCTGTTGGAGCAGAAAGGAACAACCAACTGCGCATAAATAAGCCCGTAAAATGGATGTACATGCAAAACTTAGGCCCTGGAACAAAGTCAAAGTCTAAATAGACGAATAAGCAGGACTTTCTGCTGGAGCTGACAGTGAAAAAAGAAGTATGCTACTCCTGATACAGCCTAACTGAGAGCGTGTAACTCTTGCTATGTCCTGTGCCTTATATATATATATATAAATATATATATTAGGGCTGTACCGAATATTCGCTTCAGGGCCAAATAGTGCACCTATTGACTATTCGGTTTTCCGCCGAATAGTTGCGGTTGGGCCGAATACAAATAGTAGTTAACTTAAACCCGCTTCTGCATACACGGCCTTAATAATGACAACATGGAACGATTGGTTTTGTTGAAAGCTAATGCAGCTTTCGTGCATTAACTAAGCTGTCAGTGACAATTTCCAAGTTTAGTTACTTGTTATAATACTTAGGATTCTTTCATTCCTAGTTATTAGTTACCACAGACTGACTGATGGATGCAAAACATAACATGTTTTTAAATGTTTACTATTCTGTACGAATACTAACTAGACATGGAGAGAATATAAACTCCGGCCACATATAAATACTTGGGTGCAAACTTCAACTGCTCTAACATGATGAGAGAAGAAATAAAATCTAGAATACAATCTAGAAATAAAAGTATACCATGCCCTTCAACATCTGCTAAGGTCCAAGTGTCTGTCTCGCAACACCAAGATCAAAATGTATAAAATGTTAAGACCAGTTGTTTTATATGGCTCTGAAACTTGAAGCAGAAATCAAAGAGATGAGGCCTTATTACAGGTTTTCAAAAACAGTCTTACGACACATCTTTGGGCCCATCAAAGATGCAAAAGCGGGGAATGGAGAGAGAAGCAACAACGTAACACACATTTTGTTTAAATCACCATTGATCACTGGCATCATGAGAGCTAACAAGACTTAAATGGTTGGGGCATGTTGAAAAAATGTCAGATGACAGAGAAGTAAAACTGTATACACCTGAGAGAGGAATGGGCGTAGACCACAAGGCAGACAAAAAAGATCGAGAGATAATGTCCAACCAGAGATGCAAACAACTGGTGTCACAAATTGTTAAGAGAAGGCCAGCCAGATAGATGAATAGAGAGGAGTGATATCTGCAGCATTAAACTTAAGGGCTCTGAATGCTAAAGAAAAAGATGACTGTTCTGTGCTACTTAATGTGAAGTAAAAGTTCAGCGTACATTTGTCATTATGATTGCGTTTTTTAAAGATATATTTTATACACTATTCGTATGTATTTGTATTCGGCCGAATAGTTGGTCCCGTTATTGGTATTCGGCCGCATAGTGAAAATCACTATTCGGTACAGCCCTAATATATATATTCATACTCGAGGTGTTGCCAAAAATCGGGGTAGTGAGAACGAATGCCCGTGTGTATTGTTGCACACGTAAAAAATACCTTGGCAGATGGAAATCAAAAAAGAGTAGCCAACAGCGCTGCCCGAGCAAAATTTGGAGTTAAAGATCTACCCAGAGTATTTCAGGATTCTCGTTGGTGCTACCGAGTTCGTGCACTGCACTAAAATTCTTTGGGTTAGGCTTGAGTTTGAAGTAGAACGGAGCACTTATGGGTTACTACACCTGTGCCATGATGTTGATCCATTATTTAAACCTAAACCTTATGATACCACTAATAAGTGGTGATTTTAAACAGATTTTGACTTAATGTTGTTATGTCATCGTTGCAGAGGGGTTTTCTTTTGTAGTTTTCCTTTTATTGTTGGATTTTTTTTTTGTTTGTTCATCAGGTTGAATGTTGTTAGGTATAACCTTTCTGTACTTCTTTTGCAGCAAGTACCAAACTACTACAAAATTATCACACAGCCAAAAGACTTCACTCAGATCCGGTGTAGACTCCAGAGGTCACACCCTCACCATTACCAGAGCATCAAGGCTTTCCTGTATGACCTCCGGCAGGTTTTTATCAACTGTGCTATCTACAATAAGGTAACTGGGTCTTTGTGCTTTTGTGTGCTAAGGAATTATACTTGCTTGTATTGTTTGAGCATTGCAATCACGCTTCGTAAATCTGGGGTGCAGGATTTCACAGCTGTGGGTGATTTTATTTAGAAATGACAGTCCAGAAAGCAGTGGCAGAACTTATAATTGCCTAGGAAAACACAAACAACCAAAAATGGCTGGATTTGGTTCTGCAACATCCTGTAAACGATACGCAACCAACTGGTGTTTGTGTGCTGTCTTCACAACAAAGGTTGGTTGGCTACAGTGTACACTCTGCTGTCTGCGAGATACTACACGATAAGGCCCCACTTTCCCACAATGCAACTACCATACCACTCTCCAAAAATCACGACAGATGAAATTTTTAAAATAAAAGAACAGAAAAAGAAGAAAGGCCGCTGCGGAAATCGAGACCCAGTACGAAATTGTTTAATGCATTCATTGAACTGTTTTATTTACTAAGGGAAGTAGAACATTATACTTGCTTGAATCCTTTGTTTCGGCGTTGTGAATGCATTTCGTAATTCCGAGGCGCTGGGTTCCTTATCAGCTGTGGGGGGGAGGGGAGGGGGGGGGGGGGGGGGGGTTTGGCAGCTGAACTACCTTGTTTTGGTTTCGACAGTGGTATCGAGTGTAAGAAAGAGACAGTGTTCTTTGATTATTTTACGAGAGAGAATACATTTTGTTGATCGGAAAGATCAGCTCTAATAGAGGCAGTCAGTCTGCGAGAAAGTATGCTTGATGGTTTTTAAGACACTCGTATGGAGGAAAACAAAATCTCTGTCACTGGCAAATGTTATCAGAGCATTAACATGGAGTTGGCTTGGACATGTTTGCAGAATGCCTGATGACACTTTAGCAAGGACAGTTGTCTAGTGGACTACTGCTTCTTCTTCTTCTTCTTCTTCTTCTTCTTCTTCTTCTTCTTCTTCTTCTTCTTCTTCTTCTTCTTCTTCTTCTTCTTCTTCTTCTTCTTCTTCTTCTTCTTCTTCTTCTTCTTCTTCTTCTTCTTCTTCTTCTTCTTCTTCTTCTTCTTCTTCATCTTCTTCTTCTTCTTCTTCTTCTTCTTCTTCTTCTTCTTCTTCTTCTTCTTCTTCTTCATCTTCAGCATTCCAAGCCCTTGAGGCTCATTGCCGCAGATATCACCCGCCTCCACTCATCTCTCTGGTTGGCCTTCTCTTTCCAGTTAGTGACACCAAGTGTTTAAAGGTCTGTCTGGACATTATCTCTCCATTGTCTTCTTGGTCTTCCCCATGGTCTACGACCATTTATCTCCCTTTTGTATACAGTTTTTACGTCTCTGTCATCTGACATTCTTTCAATATGCCCCAACCATTTCAGTCTATAAGCTCTCATGATGTCAGTGATCAATGGTGATTTAAACAGATTATGAATTTTGTTGTTGCTTTTCACTTTCCGTTCCCTGCTGTTTGCATCTTTGATGGGTCCAGTCCGTAAGACGAATCCAGTGGAGGACAGATGGCAAAAGGAATAGACTAAGAAAACTTGGAGGAGGACAGTAAAAAGTGGAAATGAAGGAATGTAAACAGACATGGGATATCATGGACAGAAAAGCAGCAGTGGACTGGAGATCACATGTGAATGCTTTATATGTTAGCAGAGAGAGCCAGCGTGGTGTAACTAATGGCTTGACTAGATGCTTGCCTACAGATATGAAGATCAGGGGTTCAGGATCTGATAAGACTGATTTTGTTTTTCCAAAATGACCTTGGCTGTCAGGGTGACCCAGCCTTGAATGGCTACTAGGTACAGTCTTTAAAAGTAAAGGTGGTCACTTGGTGCTGACTACATCACCCACCCAGTACCCTATGGTCTGTAAAATACAGGTTTAGCCCTATATGCCCACTACATATGAAGGGTCCTTTACTTTACTTTGACATGAAGATGAAATGGCCATTGGTAGATAAAGGAATAGAACTAGTACACTTATTGCAGAACATCACGAACCACGACCTGTTTAGAGACGGATAATATGAATCTTTAGTTTACCTCAGTCATACATTTGAATCACCTGAATCCTCTGTCACTGTAATTTTTCATCCTTTTATTCTTTTCTTTGTGTGGATATATATTCTTTCACTGCTTCGGCCAAATCAAATAATATAAAAACAAAGCTGGAAACATTGTCCGCACTTTGTTTGAACACCTTATTCTTTTTTCTTCTTCTTCTTCTTGTTTCATTCGCTTAACAGTAGATTATCTTCACTGTCTTTTGTAATTCACTCAGTCGACCATCAAGTTTGACTTGCACAGATGTTTCTATTGACCAAAAGCTTTGCTTTGATATGTTGTATTTGGGGCAGTCTTGGAGGACATGATTTGTTGTCTCAGGTGCCAGTCTACATGTATACAAGGCTGATTATTGAATGTTTGATATCTCGAGCATCTCAGCTTTCTCAAGGAAAATCAAACACTCTGTTTCAGTGTGCAGCTGGACACAGTTATCACAAATATAGTGCTAGACTTATATTTTTGTAGACCAGTCGGTGTTTGATGGGTGATGTGGCTAACATCATGCCCGCAGCCTTTATTTCCCATGACGTTATCTGGTACCCATTTGAGGCTGGGTCATCTGGGAGCTGGGGACAGTTTTAAAAGGAAAAGTCCACCTGGATGCAGATTTTAAACCTGACGCTTCAGGGCAGCAGGTGATTGCCTAACCCCCCATGCTACTGCAGCTTTGAAAGGACGGGTAAAAGAATCCTGTCCACGCCTTCAGGCAAATTAGGTAGATAGTGCCAGACCTGTATTTTACAGACCAATCTGCTCTCTGTGGCTGATGTGATGCCGGCTGCCTTTACTACCCAGGACTTTATCTAGTATCAGTTTTAAGCTAGGTCAAGCTGGAAACCAAGATTTAAAAAAAAAAAAAAAAATTGGCCTGTTTCAGATTGGAACCCACGATCTTGTGATCCGCAGGCGAGCGTCTATTTGCTACATCTTGGTGGTTCCTAAAGGACCTGTTATCTGACAGTAATATTTCTTCTTTTCAACTTGTTATTGGTTATGTCCTTAGCCAAAATATTTGTTGGTATTTCCTTTGACCAGCTTCCCAGTCAGTGTGTTTTGCTTTATTTTGCATCAGCTACCAGCTTAATAGCATTCATCACCATTTACGATACAGTTTGCATTTTATGATGTTTAGCTTTCCTTCTTTAGTTTGTCTGATTAATTTATACAATTTCTCTGTCTTGCAGACTGGTTCGGAAGTTGGCAAAGCTGGAAAAATTGTCCGTGCTCTGTTCGAATCCTTGGTTGAACTATTGATGCCTCAGTATCTCAGCTTTGTCAAGGAGAACCCAACACCCTGTTTTAGTGCGCTGCAGCAGCAACTGGATCCGGAAATTTCAAATGATGATGGAATCAGTTCTGGAGAAAGTTCTCCTAAGCGCCAGAAATTAGATGATTGAAGGGAGATAACCCTTGAGAATGATAACAGTGACAACTAGCTTTGTCTCCACAAATGTGAATACAATTGTCTTCAAGTAAAGACTTCATCAAAGATGATTGGTGCCATCTGTATTCACTGCTTGTAATGAAAAGCATTGTCTCACATTGCTTTGGGGAACTGAAGAAGAAAATTCAGCATTACTGATTGACTGCTAGCATACATGCATTTATTGCAGACTTTGATCTATGAAGTTGCAACTAGTGATCTAAGAACCACTGATTGATAAATAAACATTGTTGAGAGGCGATCATTGTTTCGCTGGGCACATTTTTTGTAAATCAAAAACGTGATATGTGAATTTGTGAAAAAACTGTTACACTTCTTTTTCTTCATTCACCTTTTGAAAAGGTAGTTAGCAGGTGTGTGTGTTGTGGCTGGTAGCTGTGCTGCAATGTGTGCACCTTACCGTGCAGCATTTGATTGCAACAGATTCCCTTGTTAGTCACTTTTCATAACATACATGCTGAGAGACAGTTACTTTATTCTTTTTCTCCTTTAAATGGAGCCCTAGAACTTTTACTGGGGATATGCTGAAGATGGGATCGGAGTGCTTTATGGACTTGTGCAGTGGGGATAATCTGTCGATTAACTAACTCATTCACAGGTGATATGCCCTAAAACATTCACAGGGGATATGCCTTAAAACATTCACAGGTGATATGCCCTAAAACATTCACAGGTGATATGCCCTAAAACATTCACAGGGGATATGCCCTAAAACATTCACAGGGGATATGCCCTAAAACATTCACAGGTGATATGCCCTGAAACATTCACAGGGGATATGCCCTGAAACATTCACAGGGGTTATGCCCTGAAACATTCACAGGTGATATGCCCTGAAACATTCACAGGGGATATGCCCTGAAACATTCACAGGGGATATGCCCTGAAACATTCACAGGGGATATGCCCTAAAACATTCACAGGGGATATGCCCTAAAACATTCACAGGTGATATGCCCTAAAACATTCACAGGGGATATGCCCTAAAACATTCACAGGGGATATGCTGAAGATGGGATCCGAGCGCTTATGGACTGGTCTGATGTCCAATGGGGATAATCTGTCGATTAACTAACTTTAACCCATTCACAGGGGAGCTTTAACTCTACGCTGAAGATGAAGAAAAAAAAAATAACTACATTGTTATGGATGATGTAATATAGGATGCTTCTGTGTACGTAAAATACAAGGCTCGGCAACAAAATTGTACATACTAATACAAATTGGTCTTTTGTTGTACAAATAAAAGGACGGGTACAGTTTTTTAAAACTACTAAGCAGATAATAAACGGATCCTATTATGAGTATCTGTTACAAGAATCCAGTAAGTTCTAGTTATTATTTTCAATTCCAAATTCCATGCATTTGTTTTCTACTTCAACATTTTCCTCAGTCCATTTTTAATTACTGAATTTTTGAGTGATCTTTTGAAACTTAATTGCATTTTTTAAAATAAATGTTGTTGAAGATAAATAATAGTTAAAATATGTAATTTTGTCTATCAATATTCTTTATGTTTAAATTATATCTTGTGAAAGATAAATATTTTAAACTTTGTATTTATAACATGGCCACTGCACTGCTCATTTTGTACATTCATAGTGCTCACTTATAGATACAAATTCATATTTAAAATGTGAATATTGTTGTGAAATACTTCTTGCTTCATTATGCTACCTGATTTTTTTTAGTACACAGTAAATTATTTCTGAATGTTTGGATGCAAAAGGAACGCAGTTACTCTAAGGCTTGATAAAACAGTGTCAGACCAAATGTAAAACAGTAAATAAATAAATAAGTACAAGGGCTCTTGCACACCACTGGTGCGTTGGCCGTATGCTGCCAAATCAAGGATTTTATTTACCAGTTGGTACTTGGTCGACGAGCAGCATCCGTGACTTAGGCGCTGCGAGTCCAACTCGCAATTCCAACATACAGTGATCGAATCTCTCCGCTGGCTGCCTGGATGTTTATCATGGTATGATGCGTCGCAGGTCGACCCAGCCTGAAATGGGTACCAGCATGTATGTCCTGGGGGGAGTAAAGATAACCGGCGTAATGCTGACCACATTACCCACCTAGTGCCGAATTTTCTGGAAATATGAGTGCTCTTCCCATATACCCGATGCGCATGAAAGGGATTGTAACTTTTTTACTTTACCTGCTTGGTGAAAGTGAAGCCCTGTGTCTCAGAGGGTAGTGAACGCGGTTAACAATTTCATGAACACTGTACCGGATTGTGTTTCCTGCGGTGGGCGGTTCAAAATAAAAGGTTTTCTTGAGCATATCGACTAGAGGACAAGATGTTTGAATTGAGAATCGACATCACAGCACTTAAGACACTCCCTAAGCTCCATCCCCATCTTCAGCAGCAATCGAAGAGTTCCAATTCTGATAACACCAGTAACTCTCTGAATGTATATCCGTCTCGCCCTTCCCATGAGCGTTGAACGTCTGCCAGATCCCCTGGTGACTCCTCGCAGCGCCATTCTCCTCAGACCGTAATGATCTATCTGGCTTCTGAAGATCGATATACAAATGCTGTGAAAAGGCTTTTTTTTTCTTCTTTGCACTAAAAAGACAGATAATGGTGAAATACTTCCTGTTATTCATAGAAGTAGTTAAATTTAACCAGAAATTAATCCATTGAACTGAGGCTTAGAACCTGATGAAGGGGGAAATAAGAGTAACATGCCCACACAAGAAAAAAAGGACATTTGAGTTTCCCTGTGTGTACTTTGTTCTTACTTTGTTCTAAATCCTCTTTTCATTAAGCTTGTTAGTCACAGCTCAGTGGATTAACTTCTTGGCTTTTAGCTTGGCTGCAGTCACCTTTGTTTTCATGACTTTTTTGTGTGGACATTTAACAAAACTGATTAGGGTACTTATGTAGTGGCCAAAAGTTTAAGACCACCTAGTATTTCTACATGTTATATTGCATCAGTTGCTGTTTTCAGGCTAAGTGATGCCTGTCGTGACTTACTCATGTCTTCTTCTTTGACCCTTTATTCCCAGTTTATCAAGCCCCTCAACCAGCTCACGCCAAGTAGTCTTATCCTTTGCTGTTGCATGTAGCTCACCCTATATCATCCTGGTCTTTTTAACTTACCTCTTTAGCTCTTTTCTCTGTTTAGGGGGGGGGGGGGATGTCTGCCTGAATTTCTTTGCCCCTGTTGGTTCCAGTGCAAAGACATTTTTTTTTCTCAGGTGGTTTTTTTGTGTGTGGCTTGATTGTTCTGTTGACCTTGTTTCTCTGGATTTTATATTCTTGATAATTTACTTCTGTCTTGTTTCTTCTGAACCTTTACAGTGCTTTTTGCCTTTCTTTTTGAGTCTTCGTATGTTTGTCGTCCCACCATGCTGCTGATTTTTTATAGTTCTCTCTGCTCTATGTTCTTAGCTTTTGACATAATTGGATATAACAGCTACCCTCAGGCTAGAGTAGAGTGTATTAGTCTTTCCGTCTAAGAGTCCTCTTCAACTGTCCTCTCTGTTTGTTTGAACTTATTCTTGCCTAAAGGGCTCTCATTGAGCATTTTTTAAGGAAGTTAACACTTTTTAAATTGCTCTCTTCATTTCTCTATACTGTTATCCTTGTATTTATGATAATAGGGTGGTGGTCGCTGTTAGTGTCTTGCTTGATCACCTATTGGCTGTCAATTAACTTCAGTGTTACCATGATGATGTCAACTGCCTGTGTCTCTCATCATTGGGTTGGGGTTTAATCTAATGAAAGAGCTCCTCTTAAGTATTATAAGTTGGTTTTCTTGTACAGACTCCATTATGACTTCTTTTAGTTGTTGCTTAAATAACTGTGGTTTTAACAACCAGGTGGTCTTCAGCTTTTGGCCACCACTAGTTTCTGACAGTTTAGTATACGAAGGCTGCCGGTAGCAGACTGATATTTAAAAAAGGAAGACTTCTTTTGGTAATCTCCATGTGCATTGCATGCTGTTCTTGTGTTTTCACACTTTCATTATCAAACACTTAGCACTACCTCAGCATGTGTTGTTGCACCATCCGTACACTTTATTGAAACGTTGACCTCCGGCAGTTGTGTTAAGATAATTTGTAAATAATGTAATAATATTTATTATTGTAATGTAAATTAAAGGGCCCTTTTTTATGTGTATTGTGTATATAGTGGTAGACCTATATATTTATAGACCAATCAACATTCAGTGGGTGATGTGATCAGCATCACGCCGGCCACCTTTACTTTCCAGAACTACCCCTGGTACCCTCGCAGTGCTTGGTTGACCTGGGCGCCAAGGTCATTTTTGAAAAAAGTCCAGCTCCATTAAGTACTATACCTAAAACCTTCTGCAAGCCTGTAGCTACTACACTATGGCGGCTTTCTATTATTATAATGGCACACATGGAATGTTATGTAGTCTAATATGTTGTGGTCATTCAGGTGGGTGGGTAGCTTGTTGAGATGTCGCTTGTTTTTCACAAAAAGACACACCCCTCCTTCCCCCCAGCAGTAGCTTGGTAAACAGATAAAACTTGTACTAATCAACACTTAAAGAAAGAAGTAGAGATAGGAGGACACATTAGACAGCATGAATAATGAAAGCTATATTTACCATAACAGGACTTGAAACCGTCACCTCCAAATGATGATGGGACCTTGCTGTGGGAATTTCAGAAATCTGATGATAAATATTGCATTTTCTATTTTAAAGTTAATTTATTTATCTTCATGCTAGTTTGGATTTTTACAGACAGGGGCAAAGAGACATTTTGTGAGAGTCTGACCTGTGCTTGATACTGTCTAGTATTTGTAGACTCATTAATTTCATTGGTTAGTTGCTGTTCCGACTTCTGGTTGTTTTGTCAAGATTTAACTATTTGTATAGCACTGTCTTGTAATTTTTGTATGACCAAAACATCTGATTGGCTATTTTAATTGTCAGTTGTCACCAACTTCTCATTTCCATTAAAAAAAAT